TGCCAGATTGCCAGCACCAAGGTGGAATGGAAGGTCCGGGTAACTCTGAACACGTTTTTGTCATCTAACATTCTGGACTCATACATAGCATCTCATAGTAATTGCATGTAAATAGATTAAATACGATTCAATAGTAACAGACACAGCAACATTCATATAACAGTTAAAGACATTCACATTTAACCATTTAAAGTTCATATATAACAGTCAACAATAGTCAACACTATGTTAACATTTGTCGTTGATATTCGATAAAATTCAGCTTCCAGCAGCTTCCACAACTCTCCAGGATTCCAGGCTTCGACCGCTTGGACCGCTCCATCCGATTTCAGTCGTTGAATGCCCAGCCGCTTCCTGCAACGAAGATGTAGCACAGCATTCCGACGTGCCAACCGGATATTACATAGATACATGTAGACACACAATGATACAATATGATACACATACCGTTTACATATACAGAGTTACATACGATATACGCATAAACATGATATAAATAACCATGACAGTTTCAACTGCTCAAGTAGGATTCAATACATGTTCGATGATGGAGACGACGATACCAACGATGATTGCTGAAACCACAGCAAATGAAGGAGAAACCACAACAGCAATGAGAAGTCCTAGTTGTAATGCAAACAACAAAAAGGACAATCACAGCTCCGGACTCAGAGACTTGTAACCTTGCAAAGCCTGTCATTCCCGAATATTCCCTACAGCAAACCAGAACCAGGAAGACCGAAAGCTGCCTCAGGTATATAGCTATGAAGTATCTCAATAGCATTCAATAGCTGAATCATCAAATCATTGCTGATTGCTTTCAAATGAAACTCTGTGCTAGGACTGGACCCTACCAACTTTTTGCACAGCAACGATGCTGATATTTGGTTCTTGCCATGGGATGCTTCACTGAAGACCAAACACATTGACCTGTAGAACTCACAGCTTTCATTAAAGCCATCATGTTAGTCAGCTTGTTGGTATTTTGCAATTTTCCTTCTCTGACAATCATCAACAATTCAACAAATTTGGAACACTTCAGAACCCTGCGACCCCCCCACAAAGGGCACCCGCTTCTATTCCAACATGACCCTGCTAAACTTAGCAAATTTAGAGACAAAACTCATCTAAGTTCTCTGTGAATTTCAACTGCAATCAGGTCACAGGGACATCTCCGATCGATTGGAGCTGATGGACAGCATCACTGTCTGCGGCAGGCCATGGACCAAACAAACCGCTACAAAGCGAAGCATCTGAGAGGGAAGCATCATCGAAACGTCTAAATTTCAAAATCAAGAAGCGAACATATGCGAAAATCAGCCCCAAGTGGAGTTCATTGGCAGCCTGAGTCCAGTGATGTCCAGTGTATCAATCCAACCGAGCGGCACAAAATTCTGGGGAACTGTTGCGTTTGGGCTTGTAGAGATATCCCGGATATCCCACATCTTTCAAGCGGGTAAGAGAGTTGCCCAATGTTTTTCCACTCCCTTCAACTCGCTTCAACTCAGCCCACCTGAATAGACTTTTCCCACTTGTTCAAGGCTGTAGCAGCCTGTCACAGTCACACAGCAAGTCGCTTTGTTTTGCGGGAGGATCCCCTGTGAATTGTACAATTCCATCTGGGGATAAACGCCGGCCGTGGTCATCAAACCCCAAAAAGGATAAACGTTGCATTCATCTAGGATGCGTACCATGAATCATTCATTCATTGATTCATTCACAACACAATCACATAAAGACACATACAGTACCAGCAAATACATATTCACACAAAAACACATTGTCATCATGGACATACGGGATATTTGTAAAACATGCGTGCAAAACGTACCTGATGCACAAGGGCACATATGCACAAAGCGCATCTTCCACATTTGTGCTGTAGTCATTAACTCAGTAACTGTACTCTCATGTGCAGATAATTGTGGATACGTGTGTCGGCGTCGATGTGCATCTTGGGCCACCTGCACCGCATCTGTGGTCTTGGAGGGCGCTCCGCGTTCCACCTGACCCAATGAGGCCACCAGTGAGGTCATGAGTTCTTATAGCTTTGACTCTTTAGAACTATTCCCTTATTACAATTCCAATACTATTCCCTTATTACACCTGACTTTTCGGGTAGTCAGGTATTCTCAGTGCATCTGTCGCAAACCTTTACAGGCACCTAGAAGTGTGATATCAAGTACAACATTTCCACAAAGCCCGAAGACAAAGTGTTGCTGCTCATAGATTCTACTGGGCAATGCAATTTTCCCCTTCTCTTGAGGATTCCTCTAAGTCAAGAGCTATCCCACCAGAGGCTTTCATGGTGAGGGCCTCATCAGCGGAAGCCTTGGCCGTGGCAAAGCGCGCTTCAGCATCGCGCAGCAGGTCCTGCAAGAAGCAGGCTTCAGAGTGCTGCTTCAACCTCGGTGTCACACACGGCGCAGCATGGCATAGCATGGCATAGCATGGCATAGCATGGCATAGCATAGCAGCATAGCAGCATAGCATCAAGGACCGGCCATGGGAGGTTTGCGAAAAAAAGATCTACAGTAAGATGTTTGTATATATTTGTATTTTGTATATTTTTTTGTATACTGTTTCTGTTTCTGTTTGTTTGAGATATTTCACAATCACTGATTTTCTACCTCAAGCCCTATATTTATGTCCCTTCTTGTTACGCTCAAGGGGTGTTGGAATGAGCCTCATGGAACATGCAACAAAATAGTACAAGTAGTAGCTAAACATCAAGACCATCGGGGGGATGGTAGCTAATGCAGCTAATGAAAAAGCACAGAGTGAACTCTTTACCCAAGCCAGAAAATGCCCTTGTGGAGCATTCACAAAAAAGTCATAACAAGTCGAGGATCACATGTCCTGTGCATTCCTGTGCTGCTGAGCAACTTTGTCAGTGTGCTCTGGAAGCGCTCCTGCATTTCCTGTAGCCGTGATCCGTCCACCTTGGCCGACTCCTGGGCGCGGCGGCTCATGGCCACCAGATGCCACCAGGATATACCAGGCCTTCGGAATGCAATTGACAAATATTGAAACACATGTGGATGATGTGAATGCATGTGAATGCTGAACTGAAGAAAATCAGATACTGTTGAGGCCAGATCACCAGATCTATTCAATGTAGCCTTTCAGTTGTTCATATGTCATCCCATGACATCCCATGACAGTGACCTGATGGGAGGGTCTTCCCTGCTGCGTGCTTGCAAGTGGCCATCAACCTTGCCAATGGTTTGAGACTCAGCTGCAAATCCTCAGAATGAACAATCCCAGTCCCATAGGACTCAGGCTACACATCTTGACTCAATGTTTTGATGGATTCAGTTGCCAAATAATGCCAAATATATCAATCTGTATCATGCTATCTCCGCATTGTTCCAGACTCGGACCTTCAATTTCATAGGCTTTGGAATCAATTACCTCTATCGCGCAAGTTTCAGATCCTCAAGTGTAGCAACACACGTGCCACTGAATTCAGTCTTGTCTACAAAAGAACAAGACTGAACTTACGAGTACTTCTTCTGCAGGGCGGATTGGTTCCTCTAAAACGCAGTTGATGCAAATCCGTCTCGCCTTGCTTGATCTTGTTTGACTTACATATATATATATGTATCTATCTATCTATCTATCTATCTACCTATCTACCTATCTACCTATCTACCTATCTACCTATCTACCTATCTACCTATCTACCTATCTACCTATGTACCTATCTACCTATCTACCTATTTATCTATCTATCTACCTATCTACCTATCTACCTATCTACCTATCTACCTATCTACCTATCTACCTATCTACCTATCTACCTATCTATCTCTATCTATCTATCTATCTATCTATCCATATGTATCTATATGTATCTATATGTATATATATATGTTGTATATATATATATATATATGCTATGCTATATATATATATATATTAATAGTGCGCAAGCGTGAGGAAACTCATGTGCGTTTATTGCATTTACCTCATTTACCCACATATATCCACGTATATCTACATATAAAACTCAACATATGCGTGTGCATGACAACTGTCACTTTGTAATATTTGAAACAGGGATAGTCTCCATCAGTCTCCATCGCTCTTCAGGCAAGGTATGGCAAGGTTCTTGCGTTTTGATCTCAGCATTCTTCAACTCTTTCATCAACTCCTACCGGGTTCCCGGTCGCACATCTGTAGCACATTGGGATCAACGGTTCATCAACGGTTCATCAACGGTTCATCAAGGGTTCACCAGGCTGGAGATGGCTGATGATGACTATTTGATATAATCTATGCTGGTTGTGTGCATCATGTGGGATTTCTCAATGCCAAAGAATGCAAACAAAAACTTGAGGGCAAGGAGTAAGGGACGAAAGCTAGCTTGGCAGGGTGATGGGCATGAAACACAGAAGGTAGCGCAAGTGTAAGCACAATTTTTGAGAACATATGATTGTTGTCTACTGAGTCGGGAAAATTCAAAGGTCCACCTTCGGCACCGGAGTGGACCTTTGGAAGCGCGGGAAGACGTCACGCAGAGCGAGGCGACAGTTTACGACGACAGGTAGATGTGCGCACGCAACATGAAAATGGAGCAACGCCAAGGTTCCATACAGCGTCAAGTGTGAAAAGGGCAAAGTTGTGAGGGTCTAAAGTCAAGTGTATAGTGGAAAGTGTGAAAGCGTAAACCTTAAACTGTGAGTGCCACGTGTAAAAGTAGAGTGTGGAGTGCCAAGTGTAGGGTGTGAAGTGTAAAGTGTAGAGTGTGGAGTGTGGGGTGTAAATTGTGATAAAATTTAGTGTAAAGTGTGGAGTGTAAAGTTATACCCTTCCCAATTCATCCCATTCACCTGGGTGTCAAAATTTCATAGGGGACCCAGTGTATAATTTGGAAATGCCTTTCAGTGGCCATCTATAAAATTGAAGCCCTGGCAAACACATACATAATCAGCCCTATAAAATCAGAACCTGCTACTCAACAACACTACAAAATTGGGACACCCAGGTCATATGAAAAACTGTTCTAGCTCCAAATCGACCTATTTTCTATATTATACTATATGTTTGTAAAAAAATATTTTGTTAAACTCAATGATACTTTATTGTATTTTCTTATACCATACCATATTATAAACCAATAAATCCGAGTTAGATCCAATTGGATGATTTTGGAGGTAGATATTATTCAACATTTTCCCACCAAATAATGTATATATATATATAGAAATATTTAGATTTATCTATGAATTTTATGTGGTTTTTCATTTTTTCTCTTCTCCAGCATTCCCATGGCACATGCTTGAGCGCTCTGATGTAGCAGCATGGCATGGTTTCATGAAAAAACTTGGTAACCAAAGGGTTCCAATTTGCAGCTACCTGCAATTTGCTGCACGCCGGGGTCCCAATTTTATCTATAGTACCCTACAACTTGTTAAAAGTATAGTACCCTACAACTTGTTAAAACATGAATCTTATATAGGGGGGTTTCAATTCTGTAGTCATTTGAAGCCTTGATACACTACAAAATTAGCAACTAGAACAAGACCGTTATATCCCTATAGAATTGGAGCCTCATATAAAATTGGAGCCCTGGGTCACTGAATATAGGCACCAAAAAAAATATAAAATTGGGACCCCCAGGTCCAAAATAAAATTGGAGCCCGCCAAAACAAGCCAAAACGGGCAGCTCAAATTTAGGATATCTTGTATCAAAAAAATCGGTTTATCGAGCACCGGAATTTGTACTGGGAACCCAGTACGGGTATGTAAAGTTTAGTGTGTAAACTGTGGTGTGTAAAGTACATTAAAAGTTAAGTGTAAACGGTCGAGTGTGGAGTGTGGCGTGTAAAGTGTGGCGTGTAAGTTTAGTGTGTAAAGTGTGGAGTGTAGAGTGCACAGTGTAGGGGAAAATTCAAAGGTCCACCTTCGGCACCGGAGTGGACCTTTGGAAGCGCGGGAAGACGTCACGCAGTGCGAGGCGACAGTTTACGACGACAGATAGATGTGCGCACGCAACATGAAAATGGAGCAACGCCAAGGTTCCATACAGCGTCAAGTGTGAAAAGGGCAAAGTTGTGAGGGTCTAAAGTCAAGTGTATAGTGGAAAGTGTGAAAGCGTAAACCTTAAACTGTGAGTGCCACGTGTAAAAGTAGAGTGTGGAGTGCCAAGTGTAGGGTGTGAAGTGTAAAGTGTAGAGTGTGGAGTGTGGGGTGTAAATTGTGATAAAATTTAGTGTAAAGTGTGGAGTGTAAAGTTATACCCTTCCCAATTCATCCCATTCACCTGGGTGTCAAAATTTCATAGGGGACCCAGTGTATAATTTGGAAATGCCTTTCAGTGGCCATCTATAAAATTGAAGCTCTGGCAAACACATACATAATCAGCCCTATAAAATCAGAACCTGCTACCCAACAACACTACAAAATTGGGACACCCAGGTCATATGAAAAACTGTTCTAGCTCCAAATCGACCTATTTTCTATATTATACTATATGTTTGTAAAAAAATATTTTGTTAAACTCAATGATACTTTATTGTATTTTGTTATACCATACCATATTATAAACCAATAAATCCGAGTTAGATCCAATTGGATGATTTTGGAGGTAGATATTATTCAACATTTTCCCACCAAATAATGTATATATATATATATAGAAATATTTAGATTTATCTATGAATTTTATGTGGTTTTTCATTTTTTCTCTTCTCCAGCATTCCCATGGCACATGCTTGAGCGCTCTGATGTAGCAGCATGGCATGGTTTCATGAAAAAACTTGGTAACCAAAGGGTTCCAATTTGCAGCTACCTGCAATTTGCTGCACGCCGGGGTCCCAATTTTATCTATAGTACCCTACAACTTGTTAAAAGTATAGTACCCTACAACTTGTTAAAACATGAATCTTATATAGGGGGGTTTCAATTCTGTAGTCATTTGAAGCCTTGATACACTACAAAATTAGCAACTAAAACAAGACCGTTATATCCCTATATAATTGGAGCCTCATATAAAATTGGAGCCCTGGGTCACTGAATATAGGCACCCAAAAAAATATAAAATTGGGACCCCCAGGTCCAAAATAAAATTGGAGCCCGCCAAAACAAGCCAAAACGGGCAGCTCAAATTTAGGATATCTTGTATCAAAAAAATCGGTTTATCGAGCACCGGAATTTGTACTGGGAACCCAGTACGGGTATGTAAAGTTTAGTGTGTAAACTGTGGTGTGTAAAGTACATTAAAAGTTAAGTGTAAACGGTCGAGTGTGGAGTGTGGCGTGTAAAGTGTGGCGTGTAAGTTTAGTGTGTAAAGTGTGGAGTGTAAAATGCGGAGTGCAGAGTGCACAGTGTAGGGGAAAATTCAAAGGTCCACTGTCAGCACCGGAGTGGAACTTTGGAAGCGTGGGAAGAAGTAACGCAGCGGGCGGCGAAACTTCAGGACGACAGGTAGATGTGCGCACGCAACATGACAATGGAGATAGGCCAAGGTTCCATACAGTGTCAAGTGTGAAAAGGGCAAAGTTGTGGGGGTCTAACGTGCAGTGAAAAGTGTAAAGTGCGCAAGCGTACAGATGAAAGTGTGAGTGCCACGTGTAAACGTAGAGTGTGGAGTGCCAAGTGTACAGTGTGGGTGTAAAGTGTGGACTGCGGAGTGCGAAGTGTAAAGTGTGAAGCGTAAAGTTTAGTGTAAAGTTTAGTGTAAAGTTTAGCGTGTAAAGAGTGGAGTGTAAAGTGCGTTAACAGTTAAGTGTAACATGTCGAATGGGGAGTGTAAAGTGTGAGGTGTGGAGTGTAACGTTTAGCGTGTGAAGTGTAACGTGTAAGATGCGGAGTGTAAAGTTTAGCGTGTAAAGTGTGGACTCCAGAGTGCGAAGTGTAGAGGGTGGGTACCAGTGATCGTGCTGGTGCTGTTACTGACCGTGTCCCGGGAGGGGTTGAGCCCACGACCAGACTGCTTGTGAAAGGAGGAGGGGGGGGAAGGGGGGGTAGTTAACTGAGAAGTTTCTCGCGATTGGAGATTCCATCCCCCCAATACCTTGCTAAAGCAAGAGGGACTTCAGCTAGCAGAAGCTAGCTTTCGTGATCTCTGCAAATAGACACTTGGAATATCTTAGAATATCTTGGAATGAGATTCAGCAGTCTTCAGCACATCCTGCTTTCTTTGATGCAGCTGGCTCGCCTGTGGCTGAGACCTAAAGCCTGCGATTGAACTATCGATGGGTAAGCACCAAGGATATCCAAGGAATTCGAAGGATATCAATGTCCCAAATGTCTTGCTTAGCTGAGAGGAAGAATTATCATAGAGTGTCCATCAAAAAACAGCCGAACCGCCCCAGTGGGACAGCCACCTAGGATGCAGTTTGTGCCAAGATGTGGCCAAGGTTTCTTGGTCCTTGAGATTGGCCGATTCCTGAGACAGCAACAACTCGTGCTTCTCCTTAATCAGAAGGCCCACACACTGAAGAGATTGGAATAGAGCTGCCGGGTGGGATGTTGAAGATTGATCTCAAACCTTTTGAATTGTATTGAATTGTACATGCCTCTTCGCATGTCGCGTGTAGATGCGTTGAGATCGACACGTTTTGTTATCATTTGTTATCAGTATATCATTGATTTTTGAAATGGCCCCCTTTGACTGCCTAGCGTCCGCCATCTTCTCTGCAGCTTGCAACCCTTCCTCCAATGGCTTCAACTTTTGCCTAAGCAACAAGTCCCAAAAGTCCAAAAGGATTAAACATGATTAAACGATATTCAAAGAATCTGTTTCAGGATCTGCACTCAGATTTGACTCGAATTTGGAATCCATTTTGCAATCCTGCAAGCCAGGTGACTCGATTTCCTGTTGAATTTTGCGCCCTTTCCTGACCAGACCGGAAAGCTGAGCTGAAGCTTTACACGGTGGCTTGACTCCGCACTAGTCTACTGCCCTGAAGCTTGAAAAAAACATCCAAGGGACGCCAAGGAGAGCCTACAAAAACCCAACTCGTGCAAAAATTTCAGGAAGTCTGGTTCTGCTGAAGGATGTTAATCATGGACACACATGGCACACGTTGATGTAGGCGACCCTCTGGTAAATGTCTCAGCCAAGCGTCATCCGTTGCTCCACTATTGCATACAACTTCCGCTGATTGCCTACTTCTGACTGCACCTGTCGGGTTTCACCCGTGCTACTGTCAGAGCCATCATCTGGAGAAACAAATATTGAGTGGAGAGTGCATGAATATGGCAGGCTGGTACTGACTGTAGTTCAACAGCTGGTGCTTTTGTGATCTTAACTAGCTACCAGCTACAGCCAAACACCAATAGAATTCCATGTTGGAAGCAGCTTGAGTTGTGTCCTAAGCTTGGGCTTTCTCGGCTCACTGGGGTTGGCACCTGTACCAAGCGATTCTGCAGCTGTTCCAAACCAGCGACAAAGCTGTGAGGTGTGTTCCTCGAGACGGGTCAGTCTTGGAATTCTTGAGTTCATAAAAGAGATGCATCTCTTCTCTCAGGCAACAAGGCTCTCGCCCCTTGGTGCGCAATGCCTGTCAAAATTCTGGATTCAAGATGAGAAGTAAAGTGAATATGATGAATATGCAATCTTTTGGGATGGTTTAAGAATGTATCGCCACCGGATCCATGAACTAACATCCTTGTGGGTAAGACCGCCCTCATTTCTCCGTCCAACCGAGATTCTTGTTTTTAGCCTCAATCTGGCGGCAGGCGATTACCTTTCTGGCCTAACAGTGGCGCACAAAACAGGGCGAGCTAAGCGCGGCTATACTCATACGATCTACAGCCTGTCAACTCCAGCGACTATATAACCTATATATATAATATATATATATCATTGGCTCCTGCCAAAAAATCTCAAGTTCAGAAACGGATTCTTCATGGTTCTTTCTGTTGGCAGGCTCAACACTTCAAAGATGGTTGATTCGGGGTCGGGAGAATAAACATGAATAAACAAGGCTCACATCTGGCGTGCTGTGGCTCAACAATTCACGAGAACCAGATCCACAGCCTCGCCCAGGGCCTTGTTCACCTCCCTTTCCTGAGAGTGTTGTGTCAGGACATGTCAGGAAGAAAAAAATGGATGCAGTACCATGCTGCCATGATGCCGTGGGCCATTGGGGAACAATGGGAACAATGGGAACAATGGGAACAATGGGAACAATGTGGGATGTTTCTGTTGTGTCTTTTCTTCAACCCATCGCGGTCTTCGTCCATGCGTGAATCCTTATGCCCAGTCGCTAGTCTCAACGACTTCTCCGTGGCTTCCTTGAGCTCTTCAGCAACCAAGTCAGTCTCAGCCCAAACACGACCTGGCGATGACGGGATGATAGTGGAATGTCGGATGTCCTAGGATGGCCAGGAATTTACGCACATTGTCAGATGACATTCTCAGGTATGCAATCAAGTACCAAATGACGTACTGTATGGATCAGCTGGAACATTCTCGCTGGGAGGAATCTTTATAGAGTTAGAGATCTTTTGAGGCACTTCAGGGCCAACCCCAAATCAAACATCGTGGATCTGGCAGGGGCAAAAGGCAAAACCCAAATCCCATCCTGAAAGAATAGATACAGAATAAATACAGATAGCTACAGTACCTCGTGCCAGCCGAAATTCTGGCCCCTTCCAAGGGGTATCAAGGGGTGTTCCTGGAAATGCCTGGTGTCTCCAAATTTGTCTGTACAGAGCAAAATCAATTCTGGGAGTGTTGACTGGTATGACATGATCTGAATCATATCATTGCTATTCATTTCTATGTATTATATAATATAACATGTAACAAATTTTGCATATATTCGAGTACTCCGTATCTGTGGCATTCTGGCATTCTGCGGCATTTTTTGGATTCTGATTGAACAGCCACACACACACACTAAGACTTGGGTTCATAGTACACATAGAAGCATCACAAAACACACTGTCATCTATCACATCTCGACGTGGCACATTTCGTACAAGATTGTACCCCATTTGTCTCCTGTTTAAGGTCAACATGGTGACATGGTGGTGACATAGTGATGCCATGATGATGACATGGTGATGACATGGTGACTGATGCAAACCCCACATTGCCAAGTGATGCCAAGTGACTGGCTTCCTTCAGCTCCGCGGCCTTCTGCTCAGCGACCAAAACTTCGGCGGCTGCCTAGGTCGGCTGTGTGGCCAGGCCGACCTTCTCGTAATCCCGAAGCGAGCCACTGAATGCAAAAAATGACAATATATTACAATGTACAGCAAAATACAGCACATTGAATTGTTCAGAATATTTCTTTATTTCGAAAGGTGGATATTTTTCCTTTTTCACCCCTCTCTTGAAGGTGACGCTTGGCTTTTCCTAGTGCCTTACCTGAGACATAGAGATATGCACTGATATGCATACGTAGATATGCATAGAGATTGTTCAAATTGCACAAACGTGCACTGACCTTAAAGTACTCCCTGAGTCAATGCCCAACTCAGACGTCCGGATCCAGAGGCTCCCAGCCTGCTCCAGATGAGCCTTCGCACGCTTTTCTCCAATCCTTACATCTTTGATCATCTTTGATCATCTTTGGATACATCTTTGGAGACATCTTCGGATACATCCGGTTTTCACTGGTGCGTTTCCCCAGATGCTTCGAGCGGCTCTGCCAAGATGCAGCCAGCTACGAACTAGTCAACATAATATGTCAACATTACCTAAATGGTGACAACTGACCTGTGGGCTGGGTGAAATGTTTGCAGAGTCACCTACGACAGAAATCCCTTTACTTCGTTCCCAAAACTCGTTCCCAAAACTCGCCCTGAATTTGCATTGTGGCGACTCAACGCCGAGTTCGAAGCATGCTGCAAAGAGATCACTGAATATGAACTATTTCCCTACAGCCCCCGCAAACCCTGTTCTGAATAGATTTCTGATAGATGTCACGAGCTTTGAGATCAGTATCTTTGCACCATGCACCCACACAAATATCACAAACACAGCATAGTTATATATTAAAACACATGCAAATGGTAGCAAATGCAGGTGCACATCATTGACATGCATCATCATGCATCTATATTTATCTGATTTTATCTGTATGTGTGTCCGCATGGTGGTACGCTTGCATCGTATACTACACCCCCAAGACACAATCGGCATAGGTTTTTGATGGTTTTTGCTCGGCCTGGATCTGGCTCAACACTGACATATACTGACATAGCTCCTTGGAACATCTTGGAACAAGTTTCAAGTTGCTCTGCTTCTCGAAGGCCTCTCGACTCATTTCAAGTTGCTCCTCGCACTCCTCCCATGCCGAAGGCGCTGGGAGAAAAGAAAAAGAGAAAGGAAAACAAAGAAAGAAAGAAAAAATTGGAGATGAACTCTTCTTCGAAGAGATTTTCACTCAAAGATACTCAAAGCACTGGCCTGTCTCATCTCATTTCAAGCTTTCAGCTGGATTGAGTCTGTTCTCCCCGGATTTCTAGGATGCAGTTCCCCCCGAAAGCAGAATTCTTGCTGTCACTTGTATGTCCAGATATATGTTCAGGTCAAAGGGCTCGACCAGGTTACCTGTATTTTAACCATCCCGATTGAGCAAGGAAAATACATCTGCAGGGGTACGCTCAATGCAGCCCACCACAGCCTGCAGGCATACCAAAGCTGCCACACCAGCCTCTGTAGTAAGGCCTCTGCCACCCATCTGCCACCCATCAATGACTTCCATTGGAAAAACATAAAACACGAACAGTTCGAATGCCGAGAGTGCGCGAATTCACACTATTTGTTGGTGCAGTCAGTCCAGTCGCCCACGTCAAGCCAGAAGGCGTCATCTGACAATCTTGGTGTAAGAAACACTGCAGTAAACAAAGCAAAACTCAGGAAAGGTCGTTGGAGCTTCCCTTAAGGTCAAAGGACACTCCTGCATTTAAGATATTTATAGAAGTCGAGGGTTCTTCCAGTTCCTCCTGATGAAAATCTAGGATATATGTCACTGTCACAATACAAAATCTGCAAAGCTCGAAGGTCAAGTGTCGTTTTACTTCCACGATCTTCATGGACAGGAACACCTTGGTCACGGGGAAACTCTGCTGGATTTTCACGTTCAGCTCCTCTGCAGCCTGTTCAGGTTGATCCGATGGGTGCCACTCGGGTGCCTCAAACATGGCGTACCAAAGAAACCCGCGGAATGTGGTCGTCACATCTTCCGGTGTCGAAGTCCTTCCGGGTATTTTCGGGTCATTTTCGGGTCCAGTTGTTCTATGAAGCCACATGAAGCCACAATGTATTGCGGCTTCAAGGGACAGATCGGCCATTTGGAGAAACAGGTTTGACCCACCCGGTGCCTTCACGGTGCTGAGGTCATCCTGGTCTTTTTGCAGCAACTCCTAAATTGAAGACACGAAGAGCAGCAATGCGCTGATGTCACATGTCTGACATGTCCACAAAACATCCGCAACAAGTTAATACAAATTGCAACAACCTTTTGGAACAAACAAGTCAAAACAACATGTGCAACTGGCTCCGGCTACAAGTAAGGAAGTGAACATTAACATGGGCCCTTAAAACAAGCATGACATCTGGCAGACATCGTCAGCAGATTGTCGGCCCCAACACCTCCCTAACCACCTCCCACCGCTTTTTGTGTCTCCTGCATCTTGCGCACATCCTCCTTGATCGCCTCCCGACTCTCCGAAAAGGAAAGGAATCAGAAGGAATGGCAGCCGAATGGCACCCGAATGGCACCCGAATGGCACCCGAATGGCACCTTGGGTTATGACCGTTACGACGGTTATATACGGTTATGCTTCCTGGCTATGTCTCAGTGACAGTCAGCATATGTCAGCATGGCCTCGAGATTGGCCTTCACCTCTGCCAGGAAGCCGTCGGTGGTCAAGCGGTCCTCCATGTTTTGAAGGTTGGATTCCTCCGACAAAGCGCTAATGGCGGCTGGAAAACGACCATGGGGAAACCAGTGAGACAACATGGGGAAATCCTGATATGTTGGAATCATTGTTGAAACATTGTTGAGCTGACGATTTCTGGTGCCGGTCAAAATGCTTGGCCAGACTATGCTGAATGTCTTGGACAACTCATCTTTCCAATCTTGCTGTCATATTATTTCACTGACGACACCTTAATTGTTGCCCAAGGTTCTGCTGCGATGTGACGTGCTTGGACAGAGTCCACGCGTGCAGTAAGTGCTTCCACATGTTTGCTCCCGGAATTCCTTGGGAGCTCTGCCAGATGCTGCAAGATGCTGCAAGATGCTGCAAAAGGGGGGGGAAGACCAACCATCCTACCCTCGGCTCTCAAGAAATCCATATGAGTACTGGCTCTCAAGAATAAGACTAAGGTAGTACACGCTGCGGTCAAAACAAGAGGCACCACCAGGGAGAGAAAGTCCCTTGAGTGTCAGCAGGACGGTCCCGCGGGACTTTCACTCACTCCCGTGGCAAGTGCATCTTCCTCTGACGTGTGGGATTGTCTGGGTCTACAAACTCTGAGACTGCTTGTGACTTTTCCGAGCTTGTGAACCCTGACCTGACGTGGCTTGTGATATCTTGTGATGGACTTACATTGGGCTTTTAATGGCTTTTATATACATCTTTCCCGATCCCACGGTCCAACATGGTAAGTATGGAAACTGACTTCTTGACCACCTTTGCAGCCTTTGACGCCTTAGCCAAGGTTCTGAAATTTTCGGGAGCTGAAGTGCATCATCATTGTCTGCTGTGCGTCAGCACTCAACTTCACTGCAGCCTGTACTTCTGCGACACACCTTTCGCAGCGTGGTGTGATGCAACTGGGGCCCAGTGGTGGCCCACAAGAAGGCACATTGTAACAGGGTGCCTTATCTACACATGTTTTCAATGAATTTGGAAGCTTCAAATAAGCATGGCCCTTGATGGCAAGATGCAGTCCCGCAGGATGGTTCATGAAACGCTCAGAGCTCAGAGTTTCCCACACACCCACACAAATTAGCTATACATTATATATTATGTTATGACATTATATTATATGCAGTTCATGCAATATGATGCAATATGATGCAATATGATGCAATATGATGCAATATGATGCAATATGATACAATATGATGCAATATGATGCAATATGTGTAGTATGGGTTTTAGGGTTTAGTATGGGTGAATGACAGGTTCAACTATACTCCCACACAACATGTACACTAGATTTGAACAGTTTCGTATGTTGTATGCTTGCAAGTGCGATATTTAAGTGTCAGCTCCAACTTTATTCTTCAAGTTTTCGATTGCTCAAAAGAGTATTAAACCCTTGCCTATTACACGACAAATTGCATCAGCATAGTGGAACCACAAATCCAACTAGTATTACTCATACTCTCTGCAAACCGTTCGACATACTCTCACAATCTATATAGCCAATTTACATATCACTTGTTAATACTTATTATATATATATATTTATAATTTACATACCCTCATAGCTTGACAGATCGGTTTTGCCGGGGTGCGCGGCCGTGACGGATTCTGTGTCTTGGCTCTTTAAGATCACCTCAACACGGTCCTTGGAAGACACATGGCTTGGCATCGTGAGGATTTGTGGGGTGAGAAGTTTCAATATGTTTTAAAGCACAGCCATGAGAAATCACTCCCAATAAGCAGAAGGGGTGAACAAATGCAGAAACATTGTTGACTCTGGGAATGCAAACGTTCTTCAGCATGTCTCTTTCCACAGGCATCAAATCAGCCCTTGTTGTAGAGTTGGAAGTGATGCGACACGATTATTTACTGGTATCCGACTCCACAACCCCAAAACCACTGCCCGTTGAATGCTCACCATAAATTGGCACGTAGGCGCTACCATTGAAACTGCAGATGTGTACCGAAGGCCCAACTTGGAACCCGCTAGGTGATGCTCAGCTTCCATCTCCACTTCTGCTAAAATGATCTGCTGCTCCACCTCTTCCACCAGTTTCCTTTTCAACTCAAGGTGAACTGTTTTCGGACTTGAACTAATTGATGAGTGTCTTCATTAGGAATGTCTGATCTGACCTCATAAAAACAATTCAGGTCCTTGAACGTCATACGTTTTGATGGTCGTGGGACAATCTTCAACATTCCCAACCATGGGGATTGTAACACAAAGAAACACTCAGTGATGGCCGGATAAAAAAAATTGTGGCCAAACCGGCCAAGCATCCTGCTTCTTCTCTGGTGATCCCAGTCCTCTCACTGCTGCGCTGGTGCATGGGAGGAATTTACAGGCCCTAACTTAGGTACCTCCTCGCAACTGTACCAGTCCGTCATTCAATAGAGACCCTGCAGGGTCAGAAACACTTTGTGGACTTTCAGAAAGTGTTTTACTTTGAGATGAGGTCGTGGTGCATAGGTTGTAGATGTTTGTGCGTTTGTGTACGCAAAAAACAAAATGATAAAATACAATAGTATAATAAAATAATATCACTGGGTAAAACATCAATAACGAAAAAAAATATACAAAACAATACAATGCAGTACAACACAACACAATAAAATACAATAACCCAAAATAAATTATAATATAATATGATAAAATATAGCATAACATAACTTAACACATAACACATAACACATAACACATAACACATACCATAACAGAACAGAATATACCATAACAGAACAGAATATAATATAATATAATGTAATATAATGTAATATAATGTAATATAATGTAATATAATGTAATATAATGTAATATAATGAAGAGTAATATTAAATCAATATAGTACAGTATGGTAATAAAAAACAATATGGGTTCGTCTGGAAATACCGTATCCCCACTGGAAGGTTTGTCTAGGGGGTATGCTTCGGAGGTATGCTTCGGGGTAACAGAATACAATAGAATAGAATACAATTGAATAGAACAGAACAAAATAGAATAGAATAGAATACAATTGAATAGAATAGAACAGAATAGAATAGAATACAATTGAATAGAATAGAGCAGAAAAGAACAGAATACAATAGAACAGAATAGAACAGAATAGAACAGAACACAAGAGAGCAGAATAGAACAGAATAAAATAGAATACAATAGAATAGAATACAATTGAATAGAATAGAACAGAATACAATAGAATAGAAAACAATTGAATAGAATATAAAAGAATAGAATAGAATACAATTGGATAGAATAGATCAGAATAGAATAGAATACAATTGAATAGAATAGAAAAGAATAGAACAGAATACAGAAAAATAGAATACAATAGAATAGAATACAATTGAATAGAATAGAAAAGAATAGAATACGATTGAACAGAATAGAATACAATTGAATAGAATAAAACACAATAGAATATAAAAGAATAGAACAGAATACAATTAAATAGAATAGAACAGAATAGAACAGAATAGAAGAGATTACAATTGAATAGAATAGAACAGAATAGAATACAATTGAATAGAATAGAACAGAATAGAACAGAATACAATAAAATAGAATACAATAGAATAGAATACAATTGAATAGAATAGAACAGAATAGAATAGAATACAATTGAATAGAATAGAACAGAATAGAATAGAATACAATTGAATAGAATAGAACAGAATAGAAGAGATTACAATTGAATAGAATAGAACAGAATAGAATACAATTGAATAGAATAGAACAGAATAGAAGAGATTACAATTGAATAGAATAGAACAGAATAGAATACAATTGAATAGAATAGAACAGAATAGAAGAGATTACAATTGAATAGAATAGAACAGAATAGAATACAATTGAATAGAATAGAACAGAATAGAAGAGATTACAATTGAATAGAATAGAACAGAATAAAACACAATAGAATATAAAAGAATAGAACAGAATACAATTAAATAGAATAGAACAGAATAGAACAGAATAGAAGAGATTACAATTGAATAGAATAGAACAGAATAGAATACAATTGAATAGAATAGAACAGAATAGAACAGAATACAATAACATAGAATACAATAGAATAGAATACAATTGAATAGAATAGAACAGAATAGAATAGAATACAATTGAATAGAATAGAACAGAATAGAACAGAATACATACAATTGAATAGAATAGAACAGAATAGAAGAGATTACAATTGAATAGAATAGAACAGAACAGAATACAATAGAATAGAATAGCACACCCCAAAATCATCCCATGGGCTAAATCCTGCCGAGCTGTTCTCAAGGGTTTCAGCTTTACTTGCGCAGATTGCAACTGCTGCTCCAGCCTACGCCAGTGGCTTTGGCTTCTCCCATCAGCTTGCAACTAAAAAGTTCAAATATTAAGTATCTCCAGTGCTTCTATATTAAAGCTTGATCATCTCACTTGGAAGAAAAGCAGGTAGACCAGGTCAATTTGTTGTCCGTCTAGGGGTCGCAAGTACTTCTCTGTACATGACCATCCTCTTCCGAATGGGATGACTACATCACAGGACAAACGTTGGACAACAGCCACCAGCTGGTGCCTCTCAAGCTCCACTTCTCCTGCGACGAGAGATATGAAACTGATGTAGATTGATGATTGACATAGGCTGTAGTACATCTAGCCTGATACAGCCAGCTAATGGTGGCTGGGCAATCTCCAAAGAATAAACATCAACCCCGGATAACTCCAGGAATGAAGAAAAGTCTACTGCTCGGGCAACCTCCATGGCTGTCATTGACCTTTTCCAAACTGAAATTTGAAGCATACAGCGCAATGCAAATCTTGCTTCAAACTCATTGAAATTCGAAGTGTCCTCTGGGACGGCTGTTTTTTAATGAAGGCAAAGTTCCGCGCTTTGCCTCCGTGCAGGCGCAAGTTTTGGGACAAGAGCAATGTTTCTTCGGATAAAAACTCAGAAACAATTCAAGCTCCAGCAGGTATAGACACCAACTCTGATTTGAGCATGTGACACACTGTGACACATGGTATGCTTCAAAGATCTTGAAAGTCTATAGCCTTCACTTGCCAGGACGAAAGCCTGTTGCCCACAGCAACTTTCAACAAAAGGAACATCATCTTGGTGTCCTAGACATGGGTTCATGACACAACAACATTTTTCTTCGAACCCACCACTAGAGACATTCAGAAGGGGTTTGATCTAAAACGCAACAAACACACACACTTGACCGGATCGGATAATCCACTTTCTCGTTGGCGGGCTTCACGCGCACAGGATTCAATGGAGGGATATGCGATGCGAAGATGAAATCTCTCTGCAGAGCCTTCAGCTTGGCCTTGGTATCATCCAAAGCCTGCCACCAGCTCCAGCCGTGTTTGTCGTCACTCGGACCAGGTGATGCTTGGCACATTGCAAATCTTCTGGACAGAATTCCAACTGGGAATACTCAAGCACTTAATGTTTGTCATGTTCTTGACACTGGGTTATTCCTTTATAGATTTCATGGTCTTCAAGGCTCAACCTGACAGAACATATGGCGGTAAGGCGGGTCCACCTTCTGGGCAGTGCTCAAGGCATCTTCCGTCAACTTCAAACCCTCCAAGGCTGTCGCCTCCTCCTCAGAGCGGAAGATCAGAGAAGGGAACAAGGACTTCACAGGGAATCGATGCAAATCGTAGGGTATTGGTAAAGAACTCCATGCAAAATGAATGAGAGCAATATGTATGTATAAATAGGTATATATATGTATACATATATATATATACATATATATATACATATATATATATATACATAAATATAAATATATATATATATATATACATAAATATAAATATATACATATATATATATACATATATATACATATATATACATATATACACACCTGCAAACACATATGTATATATATATATGTAATGTTAAAAATGCACATACATACATACATACATACAAACATACGGACATACAAACATACAAACATACATACACACATACACACATACATACACACACATACATACATACATACATGCATACCATTACACTACATTACATTGCATTGCATTGCGTTACATTACATTACATTACATTACCATACATTGCATTAACAAACATAACATGACATGACATTGCATTACATTACGTTTCATTATCGTACACACATTAACAAACATTACATGACATGACATTGCATTGCATTATGTTACATTACCATACATACATTACATACATATCACATTACATTAGGTTAGATTACTTTGCATTGCTTTGCATTGCTTTGCATTTCATTACATTACAGTACATTACATTACATGACAAAACAAAACAAAACATTACATACATACATACATGCATGCATACATACATACATACATACATGTATACATACATGTATGCATACATGTATACATACATGTATACATACATGTATACATACACGTATACATACATGTGTACATACATGTATACATACATGTATAAATACATACATACATCCATACAAACATACATACATACATCAATACAATACAATACAATACAATACAATACAATACAATACAATACAACACATACATACACTACATACATTACATACACTGCATGCATTACATACATTACATACAATACATGCAATACATACAATACATACATTACATACATTGCATGCATTACATGCAATACATACATTGCATACATTACGTACAAGTATCATTGTATCATTCCATGTATAGTATGTAAATCAATAAATAAATATAAAAATATATATATACATAGAGTGAGTATCAGTTTGGGATATTTTGGGTCATGGTGCTGTTGGTACCGGGGAAATTAGAAACCATGTTCAAAATATTACAGAACCATAGTTTATTCATGTTTATTCCACTTGCTGCTCGTTTGGACCCACTCTGATACTGCATGTATATCCTGGGTTTCTCCAGCTGCTCTTATAAAGATTGTATTCTTATAGCCAGATGACACCAGTTCATTACCTAGTCCAGCTCCTCGCAACTTCGAAGCATGGAGAATGTGATCAAAGCCTTCTCCACCTCGTCTTCAGCAACATTTACCTTGGACGCAAGCTGGCCTTCCACGGATTCCATGAATGGTTAGGGTCCAACTGTCGCCTGCCTTCCACAATTATCATGAAACATGTGAAACGTGTGAAACTCGTAGCAAAAACCACAACGCAAAGTTGGCACAGTAGGTCGCCCAGACCCAGGATATCGCCCGACCACATTTTTGACGTGTTGATTTGTTGGTGACTATGGAGTGGGCGCTCATGTTGCTTCTGCGCACCGGGAACGTCTCGTTCAGATGGTGAGCCGATCTTCTACCAGGAGGCGAGACGCACCGATTGAACAGACACACACATAGAAATTGACAGGCTCCGTCAAGAAAAGGCGCGCCGTGTTCACATTCAGTCATGCGATGGATCCTCTCGACGATAAAATGGTAAAAATGGCAAACGCAGAGTTCTCGGGAGTTTTATGTTCCTACGCGTTTGCTATGATTTTATGTGTTTTGATACTCAATCTTTGCGGCTTACCATTTATGTTTTTTCAGAGACGGGTTCTGGGGAGATTTTGTTGCAGACTTTCCCTGTGCTTGTATGTGCTGCATGAGGGGGCATTTGTATATATTTGTTGTCACTGATTTTATGTGAGGGTTTGATTCCCCACCTGCCAGGTGAGGGTTGTTAGATTTTATGTCAGTTGCCTCCTCCTCCTCCTCCTCCTCCTCCTCCTCTCGTTGTCCTCCTCGTCCTCCTGCTCAACTGCGACTCGCGATCCACAGTGTTCCCTGCCGGACCTCAACCGCGAGTATCCCCGCCCAGTGTTCCCTGCCGGACCTCAACCACGACCATCCACGCCCAGTGTTCCCTGCCGGACCTCAACCACGACCATCCACGCCCAGTGTTCCCTGCCGGACCTCAACCGCGAGGATCCACGCCAAGTGTTCCCTGCCGGACCTCATGTAGGAAGATATGGGACAAAGAATGTGCAGAAGAAATGTCAGATAGAATGCCAGAAGATATGCCAGATAGAATGCCAGAAGATTTGCAAGATAGAATGCCAGAAGATATGCCAGAAGATATGCCAGATAGAATGCCAGATAGAATGCCAGAAGATATGCCAGAAGATATTCCAGAAGATATGCCAGATAGAATGCCAGATAGAATGCCAGAAGATATGTCAGAATATATGCCAGAAGATATGTCAGATAGAATGCCAGATAGAATGCCAGAAGATATGTCAGATAGAATGCCAGAAGATATGCCAGATAGAATGCCAGAAGATATGCCAGAACATATGCCAGAAGATATGCCAGATAGAATGCCAGATAGAATGCCAGAAGATATGTCAGAATATTTGCCAGAAGATATGCCAGATAGAATGCCAGATAGAATGCCAGAAGATATGTCAGATAGAATGCCAGAAGATATGCCAGATAGAATGCCAGAAGATTTGCCAGAAGATATGTCAGAAGATATGCCAGAAGATATGTCAGAATATATGCCAGAAGATATGTCAGATAGAATGCCAGAAGATATGTCAGAATATATTCCAGAAGATATGCCAGATAGAATGCCAGAAGATATGTCAGATAGAATGCCAGAAGATATGCCAGATAGAATGCCAGAAGATTTGCCAGATAGAATGCCAGAAGATATGCCAGAAGATATGCCAGATAGAATGCCAAATGGAATGTCAGAATGTATGCCAGATAGAATGCCAGAAGATTTGCCAGTAAGAAAATGTATAAATGTCATGGTGGGGATCACACGAAGTAAAGTAATTTTTCCTGTTTGGATAAGTGCACTGTACTAGGAAGCATCATTCCTTTTCCTGATTCCATCCCAGCAAGGTTTATCTGACTGATTTAATGTAGTTGGCTCATAGAAATTGAAAGCAGTGCTGGGTTGGTAATGGGGTTGAATTCTCCATCTCGGTTCCAATGTTTCCCACAATCAATGATGACGCTTTTGTATGCTTTTTGTCCATTTACAGGAGTGTTCGCATATACAGACATAGCGTTTCAATTTAGTCAACCTGTAGTTCCCCACCTGTCAGGCGAGGGTTGTTAGATTTTATGCTAGCTGTCCCGCCTCATCCTCCGCCTCCTCTTCCACCTCCTCCGCCGGACCTCAACTGCAAGCTCTAGATCGCGGTGTTCCCCGCAGGACCCGAACGACCCGAACAGCAAGCTCTGGAGCAAAGTGTTCCCTGCCGGACCTCAACTGCACGCGCTTGATCGCAGTGTTCCCCGCCGGACCCGAACAGCAAGCTCAGGATCAGAATGTTCCCCGCCGGACCTCAAATGCAAGCGCTAGATCGCAGTGTTCCCCGCAGGACCCGAACAGCAAGCTCAGGATCAGAGTGTTCCCAGCCGGACCTCGACCACAAAGAATCTTCGAAGATATAGCAGATAGAATGCCAGAAAGAATGGCAAATAGAATGTCAGAATAGATGTCAGATAGAATGTTAGGTAAAATGTCAGAATGTATGTCAGAATGTATGTCATAAATTGTCATAATATCTGCCTTGAAATGCCATGGTGGGGATCACTCGAAGTAAAGTATTTTTTAATCTGACACATTAGTTTTGGTATTCAACTTTCAGGCTTGAACCTGTCAAACATTGTTTCCACGGAATTAAAATCATCTCCTGGTGGTGAACGGTGACATTTTACAGACTCCCGAATTTCTTGGTCACCTTTTTGAAAACCTTTCACTCAAGGTGTCAGCACCAAGTGGCAGTGGCAACAATGTCTGGTAGGAAATGCGTCATGGCTGCATCATCCAGTAGGTCTTGTTCCTGTCAGCACCGTTTTTGGATCAATCAACTGAATCTTGTAGGTTGTTAACATCTTCCGACCAAAATATATCAACATTCATCTTCATCCATTCTATGGTTTGAAAGAAACATTTGCGTTTGGCCAAAATGCATAAACACACTCTGTTGATCTCTGACAAAATGGTTGAGCTTGCCACTCATGATACTCAGCAACATTTTTGTTATTGGAGTCACAGGGATTTGACGGCAGCAGGAAGCATAGATACCAGTAGCTTGCCTCTCATGCCAATTACTTGGGGCAGTGTTGCATTTGTGGAAAGATCTGGTCCATCTCCATTCTTTCAGATTTCAAGGCCCCCGAATAATGCCTTTCGCACACGCTCATCTTCCACCTCCTTGTGAATGCAGCGGCTGTCAGGGCGCATTGAGTCACTTTCACAGTTTGTGTTGTGGGGTCCCAACACGTCCCAACGATTTTGACATTTTTTGAGGCGGGAATCTGTCTCTTAACTCATCTCATTCCTCCAACTCACGTTGACGGGCAAATGGAACTATCGCAATGTGCCAAATAAAATTCAAACCCACAGATGATGAGAGGCCATTGTGATCAAAACATGTCAAAACAACAACAGATCTTGCATCGCGTTGAAAGGCAACTGTCAATTCCTGCAAGAGCTCTATGACTAGTTCAGTGCTCACCATTCAGATGATCATGAATGAGGACTGTCACCGCTTCTATCTCAACGGCCGCTTTCAGTCTTTCTTTCCCGCAAACCGACCCCAGCAGAAACCTATTCACAATGATTACACATGAGCCAATGAATTCATTCTCACTGCGCAGAGTCCTTGCTGACTTGGCGGACATTTAGATCTTCGGCTTTCAATGCGCTAACTTCTTTTGAAATGAGATTGCCTCGGTGCATTTCGGTGCTGTGGTCGTGCCTCGTGCATCCACTTGCAACTCTGCATGTGTGTGCTCTGTTGAAGGATGTTGAAGGCATGCTCTTGTAGTGCACCAGTGTAAAAATGTATAAGTTCATGTCACAGTCATATCTTCTAAAGAGATTTGGAGTTATCAGCTATGTTCACATGCGATCAACTGATCGACTCCAAGTCCTGTACTACATAATAAATGGAACAACAAAATTAAGGAGAGACCGCATTTATGACCTTCTGTTTATTTCCTTTGTGCTCCATCTATTTGAACCGTGTGTCGTCTTTGGCCAAGGGTATTTCTAAAAATTGAATCTGAATCCGGCTGGCTTTGGAGTCTTGTCTAAGAAATCCGATGGCAAGCATGGCAATACAATATCCTCAGACGCTGATATCAAATTATGACGGTATGCATCATAAGCATGCATGAACCATCATAGGCCAACTTAACTGCCAGTTCTTGCATTGTCTGTGCGTGAGCATGTATTTCCTTCTCTAACTAGCATAACGATGGCACTTGCTCTTTCATTCTTCGGAGTCATTAGTATGTTTTTGCCCAGCTTCCCAATTCTTGCAATTCCTCCAACACCTCGTTGTTGCTCCTGAGCTCAGTGACGAATCAATGACGCTGGACATCCCCGCCGGAACTCGGTAACCATTCATTGCTGTAAGACCTGTGAGAGACACCTGGATCACAAAACCTGTTGTTCACCAATATCTTCATCGACATCCCGCAACTGTTGCTTGCCGAATTTGACAAGGTTGGATGTTGTGAGGCTGTGTTGTATCACAGTAAAACATCCACCCAATGGAACCATTGTGGCCTGTTGATCCGTCTGGAGATTAAAAGGCTATGACGGCTATGTCTTTTAAGTACTACATTGCCATTGAATCACTTTGAATCCAGTTTGGCATCTACTATCCACAACAAGACTGTTGCAAAATTCGAGAGGTTTTTGCCTCTCTGCTTGATTGAAGAAGCTCGATACATAAAAGTCTTGACCTGGCCACAGCGCAAACCACCTGTGTTGACACCAGCGCAGTGCATCCCAGTGACAAACTCCGACTGGGTTTTGGTATTGCAGAAAGCTTATTACTCATCATGCGCAGCGCGTCACAAACTGAGGCCAATTCTTGCCTGGGAGATGGCACTACCCATGAATTTCTGCTATCTATCCTGTTCATTTATATATACAAGTATGTGTATATATATAATATATAATATATATATATATAATATAATATATATAATATAATATATATATAATATAATATATATAATATATATATAATATATAATATATATATATATATATATAATATATAATATATATAATATATATAATATATAATATATATAATATATATAATATATATAATATATATAATATATATAATATATATAATATATATAATATAATATATATATATATAATATATATAATATATATAATATATATAATATATATAATATATATAATATATATAATATATATAATATATATAATATATATAATATATATACATATAATATATAAATATATATATATAATATAATATATAAAAATATATATAATATATATATATATATTATAATATATATATAATATATATATTATAATATATATATATATTATAATATATATATAATATATATATATATAATATAATATATATAATTATATATGTATATTATATCAGTACCCTTTTAGGGGGGGAACATAGCCAAATTGCAAGACACAATTTAGACGGTTTTGAGGGATGGGGGCCTGGTAAATGTCAGCAAACATTTATGCTCTAACTACGTTCTATTTGCAAAATTTCATGTTGGCAGGTCCCCTCATTCTTTACGGGATATTTTATTTATTTTCTTTAAAAAAACAGGGGGCGTTCATGCAAGAACATGAAAAAATGTAAAGTTATAGTGTGAAGGTCTGCAAATAGCTGCAGAATTGCAGAAAATCAAACATGCAAACTAAAAGTTTGTAGGACCCCAATTGCTTGGTATTTCGGTATTTCCAATACATTCTACACTTTTTCTGCACCTTTTTGATCATTTCCACATGTAACATAGAGGTATAGAAAATATATTATTCCTTGCAAATTAATTACTGGACAATCCTTGAACTTCAAATAAATGTAAAATGAGATGTTGAAGGTCTTCAAATTTACCTCCTGTCTATGAGAAAGCGATTGAGCACAGGTGTAAAAATCATGTAAACATCCTATACCTAAGGTCCATATTTCCGTGCAGAAACAGCTCAAAGTAGATGATAAAACCAAGATAAACTCATGTAACCATCCTACGCCAAAGGTCCATATTTCCTTGCTTAATGCGTCTAAGTGCGCCAGACTGTGCATCTTCAAAGCTTGACAACCAATATGAAACGCAAGTTTAGCAACAAAATGATCTCAAATGCACCTCAAATGAACCTGATGGACCTAAAATGAATCCTGATGGGGCACCTATAGTAAGCCCTTTATGAGCCTTTATGTTTCTGCAAGGAAATATGGACCTCAGGTGTGTGATGGTTACATGATTTTATCTTTGGCTTTACCATCTATTTTGAACAGTTTCTGCAAGGAAATATGGACCTTAGGTGTAGGATGGTGTAGGTTGCTTACAAACATCTGCAAACTTCTTGGAGACAGTTTTTGGACAATGGATCGGACATTGAACAATTTTTATTTCCCCCCCTATCCGTAGAGCACGGGGGGAGGAATGGGGGGGTACCGGGTGACGTATCTATTACAGACTTTCGACCCCCCCTCCAAATGTAAATCTTCCGGGGCTCGGTTTTTGACGTGGGGGGGTCTAACATACATGTAGCCTTCCCCATCGGGAAAAAATACGAAGGGGGATCGAAGGGGTCAAAATTGCTGCTTTTACATTTTTTAAACGTCCCCCATGCTTACACCCCACGAAAAGGGTGGTGATTACATTATACGTGTACTATGTATGTATGTATGTCTGTCTGTCTGTATGTCTATATGTATGTATGTATGTATGTATGTATGTATGTATGTATGTATATGTATGTATATGTGTGTGTATGTGTGTGTATGTGTATGTATGTGTATGTATGTGTATGTATGTGTATGTATGTGTATGTATGTGTATGTATGTGTATGTATGTGTATGTATGTGTATGTATGTGTATGTATGTGTATGTATGTGTATGTATGTGTATGTATGTGTATGTATGTGTATGGATGTGTATGTGTATGTGTATGTATGTGTATGTATGTGTATGTATGTGTATGTATGTATGTATGTATGTATGTATGTATGTATGTATGTATGTATGTATGTATGTATGTATGTATGTCATGTATGTATGTATGTATGTATGTATGTATGTATGTATGTATGTATGTATGTATGTATGTATGTATGTATGTATGTATGTATGTATGTATGTATGTATGTATGTATGTATGTATGTATGTATGTATGTATGTATGTATGTATGTATTATTTATGTATGTATGTATGTATATATTTATACACATGTTTCAAAAGAAAACTAAACAACCACGGCAATCAGGTGCAGCCCACTGTTTGATTGATTGTCATACAAGTATGGAAAGTAAGGGCGTCAGGCAAACGGTGGGTCCTGTATCGGAAAGGCCTGAAGCAAAATGCCACTAGCCAAGATCTCGCATCCTTTTACACTCTTGTGTAATGTGCCGCTGTTTCAAACTTGAGGCCCAGGGGTAAGGGACGAAAGCTACTGTAGCTTGGCAGGGAGCTTGGCATGAAAACACAATGATGCTGAGGTTGCGGATGCTGCCGAATTTGCTGCTGGCGGCGACATGCCGACGGAGTCCCCGGGGGGAGTGAGGCACGGCCAAACTGCTTGTGAACCAGCCAGCCCGGGGGGGAGGGGGATAGTTAAATATGAAGTTTCATGCGATTGGAGATTCCAGCCCCCCCAATAGCTTGCCAAAGCAAGAGGAACTTCAGCTAGCAGAAGTTAGCTTTGTGAAAAATCCGACACCTCTTACGTAGTGCCTTTCCAAGTATCCGAATTCTTCACACCCAAGAGAAAAAACACCTGCTTGATCTGTATTGTGCCGCTGTACCGAACCCCTGGACAAGCTGCAACAGTTCGCTCACGTTGTCCATCTGTCTTTTTTTGCACGCAAGGCGTACCTTCTCCTGCCGTGGGATTCATTCCTGTTTGAAGGCTGTAACACTTGGTGAACAGCAGCACTTCCAGTCATAACCTCGGAAATATACATCAAGATGTTTTAAGTTTCCTAATGCATTAAAGACATTTCGGGACAACTATATGTATGTAAGTATAATAAAAAAATGCATACAATATATATAAGATAGATAATATATACATGTCTGTAAACAATTGCGAATATAACTATTTGTGTGTACGCCCTTGATACATTTATGACAGCAACATCAAATGACTGCTGCAGCCACTGCAGTTGCGATGGCCTGCGACTTCTTCGCAGCCAAGATCAGCGGAGTCGACTGTTGCTTCAGTTCTTCCTAAGCGACAATGGAAAAGAACAACACTGTGGCTGGAGCAAAGATCAGGTTAACATATGTACATATATAAAGAGTACATATCACACAACTTTATATCGGCAAAAACATGCAAAAAACATAAGCAACATAAATTTGGGATGTCATGCCAAACCAACATGTTGAAACCACTGCAGACAAGTTTCCAGCTGCGTCTTTGCGTCCCTTTCCTGCCTCAAACGAGGGGCAGCGATGGGGAAACAAACGAAGCAATCTTGCTTTAGAACGATTTCGATCAAACACGTAGGACGAAACAAAAATCCGACGGATTCCTTCTAGGTTTCTCTTTCAAACCTCTAGAAAGGCAAGTGGGAAAAAACCGCAGTGACTGCTTGCGTCAAATAAATAATCACGTCTTCTCTGTTTTGCCTTCCAGAAAACGCCAGTCTTTCTTGCTGACTTCTTTAAATAGGGGAGAATCACCGAGGCTTAATGAGTGATAAAACGATCAAAAGAATGACGGCTGGTGCTTGTCGGCCAACTCTAGGGGAATTGTGACTTGTTGGGAAATTGTTACGCCAATGTTCCAAAATTTTGAGAGACAAGTAGTAGGCAGTCAGAATCCCAGAAAACATTCCTCGCGTGGAATGTGTCTACCGACTCAAATATCCATGTTGGTAAAGGACGCTTTTCCAACAAAGGGACCCTCATTTGCCATCCCGCCTTGAAGCTTCTGATTCTACCCGCAAGTCTTCCTGCAGAGCATCTGCAAGTACAACTTTTCAAGACGGCGATATCAGGATGTGTAAACTGCAGTATGTGACATGGACAAACATACTGACTAAATTGCCAGCACCTGGACACCTTCAGCGGCATGGTTCGGACTACCCAAAGCTTTTCCAGATGCCAGATGGCATCAATGCTTCCAGCATCGCATGACCAATCACAAGAGTCCAACGCTTTAAAGCCCAGAACATTTGCCAATTGCAGATCGACCACTGATCACCATTCCAGCTTGCCTGTACTTGGCCATCCCAAGGAATTTTCCAACCGCGAAAGGGTGGCTTGTCGGAATCGTGATCGCAGCGCGACCACACCTTGGCCCAAGAGAGGATCATGACGATGAACCACAGGTCGAACAATGCTGAACGAAGCCGAAGGATAGGTGGTGTAAATCATCAACGCTAGAGTGGTTTGCGATTGTGTATACTACCACTTAAACCCCTAACCATGATGATGCTGATGCTTGATGATTACACTTGATTACACCTCATTTTCTTGCCACAGTGGGTGCCAGCTCTTGCCAAGCAGCTTGTGCACCTGCCAAGGTATTGCCAAACCACCATCCGCGGAATTCGGGACCATCCCGATCATCCCAGTAATAAATGATCACCTTGGGATCCTGCAGATTCACTGATTCACTGCGTGCTGCTGGATGGATTTTGGGCAGTTTTACCTTGATGCTTTTTTTGGTAGGACAGAGGAATTATAGTATGAAACATCTGGAAAGGAGGATCGATTTGGGTGGCCGGTGTAAAGTGTTTATGTTGGTATCTGGGAGTGTTGGGGCGTGCCAGCTGGAAGGTCTGATGCTTTAGTAGAGTGAAGCCATGTGCAGCCCTCAGCCAAGTTTAATGTGCCCTTTTGAAGTAAGAAACATCAACATACAAGCATCAATACCATCATTCAAACTTTGAAAACCTTTTGACTCTGACCAGGATTGAAGAGGGAAGAAACTATCCAGAAAACGCGGCCAAGCACTCAAGAACAACCGTTTTGAGCTTGTCCTGCTTCCCTTCCTTCTCATAGGTTTTTCTCCCGCAGCTGGTGCCAGTCTGCAAGTATGTGCCAGACATAGTTCTCACAGCGATCCCCCGATCTTTCTCCGGGCCTCACACATCGACATGCAGAGCGTCCATAAAATCCAACATTGTCGAAATGTCCACTCAGTGAGACTCAGCGTGATCGTCATGAGCTTTCAGGACTTTGACCATGTCAGTGGGCAGTGCCCGCCAGCCCAGATCATCACATCATCAATGAGGAATAGACCATATAATTATATATATAATAATGTTATATAGTCATTTTTTATAATGATGTTATATATTGTTTTATTATGTTAAGATTGGTAGTTCTAAATGCTTACAAGTGATAGAAGGTAGATATGAGACGACAACAGAGGACATTGCGTGCATATCGTACAGTCCAACTATGGCCAACTTGTAGAGATGAAATCTGAGATGGTCTACTCGAAGAATTGGACGTGAAGACAAGTTGCCCTCTGCATAAACCACTAGCTTCTCCTGCGTGAGACGCGAGGCCGATTCAAATGGGGATACTGACACAGCGATCTCTTACTCGAACACCCAAGCTCTTCCAAAGATTTTCGGTGTTTTGTAGGAGGTCTCAAGAAAACAATAGCCGCTCATGTCTCTTAGTTCGACTGGTCACCTGTATCTTTCAAGCAGCTTGACCACTTTGTGTGTCTGATGGATTGAATAGCATCATCAAGCTTTCCAAAAAATGCTGAATATTCCTGGATCTCATACCTAGGAGATCTGCGATGATAATTCCAAATACAACCCTCCAAATGTTTTCATAAGTTAAAAGGGGACAGTTGGTTCCGGGTCATACAGTACAAATCGACGCCAAGCTGTTTTGATACGTGCTCGGTGCTGGAACATGTTGTTCAATAACTTCCCCTGTCCTGTGGCATCTTTCTTTGAACCTAAGAGAAACGCACGCTTCTGGCCCGTGCCCCGCTTATTCTTCATTGTCTCATTTCTATTCATTTCCACAGAACAATTTTGAACCGTGGTGTTTGCTTCGCTTTATCATTCTCCAGTTCTCATCAGTCAAGCTTCAAGAAACCATGGTCATCTAGGGTCAGGTCACTTGTACCAGAAATTGTTAAAAACTTAATTCAACTCCACCCTGTCTAATTTTTGATGCTTGGTCCAAGTGGCAGGCATTGCTTTTGGTGGTGGCGTAGCAGGCATTGCTTTGGGCTGTGGGGGCTGTGGTTCGGTGGGCATCGCTTTGGGAGGCACCCTTGGTGGAGCTGACGGCTCAGGAACCTTTGCCGGTGCTGGTTTCGCTGGCGTCATTGGCGTTACGACTGGTGCTGTCGGTGTCACTGGCGCCGCAGGTGTTATCACTGGGCCAGCTGGGCGTGCCGCCCACGTGTGCCTTGCTCTGGAAGCTGCTTCTGCTCGTGGCAAGAGAGGCCTTGGCAACGCTGGTCGCAAGGCCGGTCGCAGCACTGGCTGTGCAGGCCCTGGGCGTGGTGCTCGGGCAGTGGGCACCCCCGGAGCAAAACCTTGGCCCGCTGTTGTGACCTTTCTGGTTGGGGTAGGCTGGGGCTCAGCATCATGTGCAAGTCGAGGATATTTCGCCTCACCAGGCCTCGGGCTGTAGATTGTACAGAGTTTCAAGATGTTTCAAACACTCTTCCAATCTGCTTCAAAGTTGACAGCCTATGAAACAAGAATAAAGGCACGCAAGAAGGAACAACACAGAACACTGATTGTGTACATACAGTATATCCCAGACGTAAAACAACAAGAACAAATATCAGCACGTTCTTCCTGGCCGAAAACCAGGGGTATTGTATCATGTTATATGAGTGCACATTGTCTCTAGTACAGCATATTGTATGGTGTACTGTAAGTTCCAAAACGTCTTCTGGAAGCCACAGAATTCGATTTGAAGTTGGGGTTTGGAACGTACAATACATTATGACATTATATATGATTATATTTTTCGTTTTGAAACCCCTGCGACAGGTCACCTGTGCAACAAAAAACATGAACACATCTGTCTGCATACGCCCACATCCTCCTTCTCTGCTGATGCCTGGAAGCAGGCGCTGACAGCAGCCGCTTTCCAATGGTTGGGCGTGCCGCCATGGGCGCACGATGGATCGAAGTCGCACCACCTGTTGATCTTTTGGATTTTTCGCTTGTTGGGTTTTCACTCTTTGTTGATATAGCTGCTTCGCTGAAGGGGCATTGCCCACAGCCCCAATTTGATCCTCTGCATCTTTCTCAGGGATCCATCATGATTCCCGGGACATGGCCGGAGCTATTCCGATACAAAACTCACAGGGTAGCCATTCGATTGGGGGACTGTGCAGCAGGATCTGCCTGCATTGATTTTTTTTTTTTCATGCGTCCCCAAATGCCAACAGTCTGACTGCTGGGACAGCTTTGCGGCACAAGTCCGAGCCACGAGCGGCACAAGTTTGTAAGATGCCAACTGGGAGCATTGCATGGGTTCTCTTATTATGTCTTCTGACAAGACATTTTCTGAAACTACCAGTAGCACCGCACAAGGCGGTGGCGGAAATTTCAAAGATAGGAAACTATAGGAGAGGTGAGTTGTTGTGATGGATGGATGGATGGCAGAGCGAACCCACTGATGGATCGAGAGGTGGCTGAGGCTCTGAGTCTCTCTCTCTCTCTCTCTCGCTCTCTCTCACCTTCTCTCTCTATCTATCCATTTGTCTATCTATCTGTCTATCTATCTATCTATTTTTCTATCTATCTATCCATCTATATGTCTATTCATCTATCTATGTACTTATCTATGCATCTCTCTATCTATCTCTCTACCTATCTCTCTACCTATCTTTCTACCTATCTATCTATCCTGTCTACCTGTCTATCTGTCTATCCCTCTATCTATCTATCCATCCATCCATCTATCTATCTTTCTATCTTCCTATCTGAAAGAAAACAATTCCGCGAGACTTCTTTCAAATGTGCATCGACTGTCAATCAATCAATCAATCAATCAACCAACCAGTCAATCAATCTATCTACCTGTCTCTTTATCTATCTAGCTCTGTATCTCTCTATCTATCAATCCATCTAGCTTTCCATCCCTCTTTCTATTATCAATCTCTCTATTTATCTGCCTGTCTATCTGTTTATCTATCCGTTTATCGATCCACCTGTCTATGTGTCTATCTATCGGTATATCACCAAGAGTAATCACTTATGCGACGCTACCATCAAAAATAAAAATTGCCAGGTCCAAAACGAAGCAAAACTGCAAGACCTCGTCAAAAGTTCAAAGGCGACAACATCAACAACGGAGCACTTCTGCAAGACTTCCTCAACTTTTGAAGTTTACAACGTCAAACACCAAGCAATTCCGCGAGACTTCCTTCAAAAGTGGAAGTTCAAAGCTGAAAAACAAATTCAAAAGTTGAAAGCTCAAAACCGCAGTTTTTCCGCGAGACGGAGTTCAAATTTGGTAGTTGAAAACTATTTTCTGTGAGGCTTCCTGCAAATCTGACATGTCACTGATATCACAGTTACAATTCGATTTGCAGATGTCGGCTGCACTCTCTCAAAAAGTATTGCGATGTATTGCGCCTGCCACAAAAGAATGAGGCCAGGTCATACGAAGTGTTGCACCTGTCACGCATCATCATCTTGGCAAACGTAAACCTGAAGATCTGATGCTCCAAAATGCTACCCTTCTCAGGAAATCAGCGCCCTGACTTCTTAACATGTCTGATGGGGACGTCTCTTGTACGGCACCTGCCATGCGAAATGCATCTTAGCAGACCCTCTTCCAAAGTCTCACGCCTGCTATAATATTTGAAACTGCAGCAAAAAACCTCACGTTTTGCGCACTTTTGGCAAGGTGCCGAATCCCCTGTCACCCAATATGACGATTGAACGTCCAAAAGTGGTCCGAACATGTGGTGCTTTTACCATTTTGACTTCAAAATATGCTTTGCGCCACAGCGGCGTGCATTTTTTGAACAACTCAACTTCCAGAAGTGCTCCGACACTGACGTGATTTGCTCATTTTGACTTCCGAATGTGCTTCGCGCCACAGTCGCGTGCACTTTTTCGACATCTCATTTTCCAAAAATGCTCCGAGACCGAGGTGTTTTTGAGTTTTTTTACTTCGAAATGTGCTTTGCGCCACAGCGGCGCGCAATTCTTGATCTCTTATCTGGCAAGACGCCTCCGCACCCGCCACTTTATCACCTTGATGTACCTTGATCTTCTTTCTTCTGACTCTTTCTCTTCTCTGGCTGCTCTCACCACTGTTCTCTCACCGCTGCTACATGCTGCTACTGCATCTGGAAGTTTGACTTCTAAACTTCCTTCGATAAGTCCACTAGCGCACCCAGAACAGGCTTTGCTGATCTTTGCTGTACTGGACAACTTGGCTCCCCTTTTGTTGGAAGCATGCAGTATTCCCATGTTGCATCAGCGTTTGAACCGGAAGAACCAATTACTTGGACGGGATTAAATTTATGGCACTCAAATAATCTCAAATATGGTTGCATGGTCAATTCAAGTCAATTTCGTCAATTCACATTCACCGTGACGTTTGCTCTTGCTGACCCTTTTGGCACAGTGCCTTACGTCTGTTTTGTGCTTGGCCCTGTCCTGTAGTCTCCCCAAAAGGATCGGGGTGGAATTCACCCAAACCAGCCCCAGCATACCATCCAACTATCCGTCTCTTTTCACGGCCACGTGATTCGAACATCTGCAAATCACCCTGCCATTGCCTGAGGGCACCAGTGCTGTCCAACGCAAATGGGCTACAGCTTCACAGAAATTGACGGGGCCGTAAGGGAAGCCCCAAAGCTTCCCGTCACTTCAGTTGGAGTTTTGCATAAAAGCAGTCACCGTAAGATGGGGCCAGCGGGCACCCTCTGTTCAGCTGAGCAATGCGCCGAGAGTGCCAAGCTTTGCCAAATTTCTTGGATCTTTGCTTTCACCTGCACCGCGGGCTGTCCAATGTGTCCACACAACCTGCATGTGCAGTCGGTATTTCAACCTGCCATGCAATTCAACTCCTCAGTGGATAGAATACAGAAATCCTGTCTTGGAGGAACTCACTTTCAGCTGCAATCCTAGCGGAACAACCCGCGCTGGTTTGAGTGAAACTGAACTTTGATCTCATTGATCACCTGGAGCTGAACAAATCCAGCAATGAGAAACCAAGGCCGACCGAGTTTATCCAAGTTCATTAGAAAGCCTTTTGGCCCAGCTTAGCCAGGGTTTGGAAACCAGGATCTGGCACTTGATGCGGAGGTTGCATTCTCAAACACCCTACGTGTTGTATCTACAATGTTACAATGCATGCACGCAGCTATCTATTTATATGTTTATCTTTTTATCTATCTATATATATATATTATATTATATCATATCTATCTATTTATCATTTATTATATGTTTCTGCATTTATCTACCTAACTATCCATCCATCTATCTACCTATCAATCTATCTATCTATTAAAATATCTACATCTATCTATCTATTAATTTATCTACCTACCTATTTATCAATGATTATCTATCAAATTAATTATTTCTATCTATCTCCATCTGTCTCTGTCTCTGTCTCTCTCTCTCTATCTATCTCTATCTATCTCTATCTATCTCTATCCATCTCTATCGACCTCTATCCATCTCTGTCTGCTGGCATCTCTATCTGCGCACCATATTTCACTGCGCTTGATTTCACAGTACGAGTCATAAATAAACGTATGTGAAACGTATGCACCACGAACCACGAACCCGAAACAGCCGCAAATCCCAGCAAAGTGCCTAAATTGTCTTCGTTTGTTGAGGAACCACGGACAACAGAAATGGAAGAGAGAGAGAGACGCTTTCCCCAACGAACCCGAAACAGCCGCAAATCCCAGCAAAGTGCCTAAATTGTCTTCGTTCGTTGAGGAAGCACGGGTAACATAAATGGAAGAGAGAGGCGCTTGCCCCAATGAACCCGAAACAGCCGCAAATCCCAGCAAAGTGCCTAAATTGTCTTCGTTCGTTGAGGAAGCACGGGCAACAGAAATGGAAAAGAGAGATGCTTCCCCCAACGAACCCGAAACAGCCAAAACAGCGCCGAACCCAGCCAAAACGTTCACTAGAACATGCCGTGTCATGCAATGGCGGATTTGCTGTTCTGAGCCGTTTTCGATCGTTTTCGGATAGCCCGCGGAACCGAACCGAACCGAACTGAACCGAATCCTTCCTGCCTCTGTATAAATATTAATCTATCTTCCCACGTCCACATACAAGTATGCACAGTCGACACATGTAGCCATACCCCGGAAATCTATGGAAGTCGTTGCTGATCGCCATCCTTTCGAAGGCGTTTCGAAGGTGGCCGGCCAAGCCTGCAAAGCTTCATCATCAGCCTGCACCTGGCTACAGCAATTTCAATCTACACGCCAGGGATACAACATGATACAACTCCACAACATTCCACAACTATAAAACATCTGCTATACCTAGGGACCTAGATTCAAATACTTGGAGTTTGGTTAAAGAAGCATATGGTGCATATGGTGTCTTCCAAAGGGGGCAGCCACACAATCAACACATTTGGGAACGAAACCATCCCGTACATGTAGCTGGCATGCCTTCACATCCATCTGCTGTTGCTTCAGTCCAATCAGCTCTGCACTTCTTTCCTCAGTGGCAGTTCTCCCGAGTATCACACTTGCCGACCAGCAGGTGGGTGAAATGGTGCTGGGTCAAAAGGAATCCAGGCTTTGTTTTTTTTTGAAACAAAGAATGCTCTGTACGCTTTTATCACTTTTACCAACTTTTATCCTCAATCTCAAAATATCTTTAGTTGGGTGGAAACCTTTGATTGTATAACTTGGCATTGAAGACAGCGAAAACCACCGTGGGCACAAGACAACACACTACACTACACACACACAGACACAAACACAGGCACAACCATCACAACCTATTCAAGTATTTTTAGTCACCTGACCAAGCGAAAAAAGGACACTTCTCATATCTCCTCATCTTTTGCTTCCGTATAGGTGATATCTTCGCAATGCGGTGCATTTTTTTCAAACTTTCCAAACCCATCGCGAGGTCCGGAGCCCACGACCTGAAGTTGTTGTTCCACCGTGATGGCCTGAGCACTGGGTTCTGACGGGGTCACATGGCATGACGCACATGGTCCCATGGCATATTTTACATTCCATGCTCTGCATATCTTTGCATGCCTTGCATGCCTTGGATGAGGCAAACCTTGACACAAGCCTTGACTCAAGCACCACAACATACCACAACCATGACCCAATGAGCTCTGTATGTCATACTGCTGCACAACTCAAGGACTGCCACGCCTGCTGTTGAATACGTCGGATTTCATCCGTCAGAAGAGTGCTGACCGGGCTGCCCTGCGGTCAAGGTGTCCGGAAAAAATATGGCCCGTGGGAAGTGGCCCATGCCAGCAGCTGGTACTATACAACTGGTTCTGACCCAAGCTGGATCAAAAGCACATATCGGAAAACTATGACCATGCAATCAGAGTGGACCCAAGACGTTAATGCAAAAAAGTATCCCTGAACGAACGAATTGATGCACCACCCATTGGGCTGCTGTTCAAACTTGGATTTTCCACGAATGTAATTAATCTCTCAAATGCAATAACAAAAACGACCTCCATTTCTTCCGCCACCCACACCCATGCATTGCATATGGAGCACCACAGGAGAGCTTGGCAATGATGGCGCAGTCTTTGCTTTTAACCTCAGGAGCGGTCAACGTCACAGGAAGGCCTTCGGGATGTCTGTGGTACTCCATCAGGTTTCAACTCGAACCCAGGGCTGCTCAAAATGAACCCCAAAGGATCCCAAAGCGGTCTATTCCGTCCAAATCTCAAGGCCTCTCGCAGGTCAGTTTGTAAACTAAACTATTAGTGTCATTGTCATACTCTTCTATTAGTATATGCGCTATTAGTGGATAGGCCTATCACCCATGTACTTACGTAACAAGATGTAACAAGTCGTAACATAAACGACCCCGTTTCCTCAAGTGGTTGCAATTCAGTGAATGGGAAACCATGGGACTTCCACCTCTTTAAATACCTCGAAGGGAAAACAACGGTAGCTACCAGGTGCCCCGGCAAGCTTTGGCGTAGTTCTTCAATGCGTTCCCGGCAGGTGTTGCGGCTCGCAGTCTGCGAGGCACCGGCATCCCAAGGCCATGGATCCATGGCATGGGCATGGAAATCTATGGAATTTATATAGGTCTGGCATGAGCATTCAACAAATGCTTCTTCGACATACTAGTACAAGTACCGATATTCTCTGTGTATATATATATATACAATATTATACAATATTGTACAATCATATAATACTGTACTATATAATACTATATAATTTTATGTGATTCTGAAAATACATGCCTTTGCCATGCAAAGTCAAAGAACTAAAGGACTTGAGGCCCAACGGGGGGGTTAACGAAAGCTAAGGTTCATAATATGAGCCTGGAAACACGATGGGATTGTGGTGGGAGTTGGATATGCTGAATACAGATTGCCTAGAGACCTGGCAGGATTTGAGCCCGTGACCATCTGCTTCCAAGACCACCCCAAAATGCCCCGAGAGCTTTGGGTGAGGGAGGGGGGGTTTTCGAGTGAAAAATCACTGTTGGATTCAGACCTGCCCCTCCCCCTGCTGAAGCAAGAGTAACTCCAGCTAGCTACCGCGAGCTTTCGTGACAACGCATGAAGATGTCGCAAGTATGCGTCAAACGATGCAGCCATATCCAGCCCTTCACTTTGAACCTTGAACATCCTTGAACTCTATGACTCTATGCTACATCGCTACATCGCTGCCTTTGTGTTCCAAACTCCAGGTGGCAGTTGAGTCCCATGGCCATGCGAACCTCGATGTTGAGTCTTTGCCGTTCAGCCTTGGTATTGCTGAATGCGGACAATCATATTCGATCATGCTCAACCTATGTTGTTGCTTTTCGGACGACATCCGAAGACAAAGAAAACACAACATTCTTGCCTTAAAAGGGCTTTGCTTCAACATCTCTCTCCCTCTCTCTCTCTGTTGTCAGTAATTACACGCAGAGATGCATGCAGAAAGTGAGTTGGTGAATGAGTCCATGAAGGCTGCACGGCATTTAGCGACATCACTGGCTTTTCCCTTTTTTTTCCAGGACGCATCAGTACACTAGTCTTGTCGCCTTGTGGAGCAGGTAGAAGGTCGCATCCAAACCAGTCTGTCCATTACTGTACTCTGTACCCCTTTTGATACCCGGTGTTCCTTCCTACCCGGATTCGTTACAGCGGAACTTACAGTGCATGTCTTCTCTCATTCCCAGATTTTGTCGCAGCCCAAAGCATCAGAATTGCTTTGGGGTAGCCCGCCTTCACCTTGTTCTCAATGGTGGTGACCTGGCCATCGACTTTCTGCGGGAACTTAGCGTTGACTTGAACAAACGGATTTACGTCCGTTGAATTCATCGCGCGCAATGTGCAAGTGACGCATTGATTCAATTGACAAGAGTCAAACACTCAGTTCAATAATTCCATGCCTACATGTACTATATCAGATTTAGCAGTGGGCTAAAGCATTGGCGAAATAATGACTCGGCCAGGTTAGTTTCCTGAGTCCATACACCACGCAACTGCGGGCAAAACTCACATCGAAAAGGCAAATCAACATTCTGTGTGGGTTTTCAGTCGCCATGCAACAGAATGGCCTGCCTTCAAATATCACTTCTCTGTTGATGCGGTGAACTTAACGTATTGTTCTGTTTGGCTACACTTGCACTTCAAACCTCTCTAAACTAAATTCTAGGAATGTGGACATGGCTGAGTTCAAAGACCAAACAAAACTGCCTCTGCTCGTTGTACATCTGCTGCTTGGGTAAAACTCCTTGCAAGCGATGTGCAATGGTCTCACACAGCCGGCACACCATTTTCAGGCCAATCAAGTGTTACCTTTTGTCCATGTGTCTCAAAACCCAGAACAACATGCACATTCCCAGCAACATTGCATGTAAGATTTCAGTGGTGTGCATAGTCTGCTTGCCGAACCCAAAAGCAGAATGGAACCGAAACAGAACCCTTGAACGACAAAACACTTCTGTGGGGTTGTAAACTGTTGTAAAACTGTGTTCACATTCTTAAATATGTACAGAAGTAAAATGACGGTACACTTCAAATGATCCTAAAATGCCCTCAACATGGCCTCCCTGATGCGTCCTTTCCAAATCGTCGCGAGCGTTCTGAAGTGTCAGCTCAAGTTTATCCACTTCCTACCGGCAGAACGAGGCAGCTTTCCTTCAATGGAAATTCCAGCAAGAGTTATACACAGTCTCTCAGTTGATCACACGTAAAGGTTAACAATGATTTCAACAATTTGTACAAACTCGTACAAAGCAGTACCAAGTGTCAAAGTCCAAAAGCGGGATATTCCTTCCGCTGTCCTCATCACCATGTTTTGCCACGTCTTTCAGCTTCTTGCGAAGTTGTTGGCATTTCTCCTTCCAAGTCTCTCTGCCAAAGTACGGTCAAAAAACTCTAAGATCGGGGGAATTGCACCCTTTGCCTTGCACTTACCTTCATGCGTTTGCAACTGCAACATACTGCAACCATCTTTCTCAGCTTGTGGTGTTTTTCAATTCGATAATTATACCATGGAAGCAGGATGAAGCAGGAACTACTATGCCAGTGGGTGGACTCAGTGGGGAAACTGAGAGGGCGAACCTCCATGGCTGAACGCAACAAAGCCGCCACAAAAATGGCAGATAATGCATGTATCATCATGTATCAACTTTTGGCTCTTGTGTATATTTTGCTCCTAAAAGACCAATTGAACACCTATTCTGAATTTCATTTTTAATTTCCCAGTTCGTCAGTGGGGTACCACGTGGTGATGGATGTCGTGTCTTCTTGCCAAACTGGGGCAATGTGGGTCAACTGCCGCGAAGTTTGTGGAGGTTTGTAAAGTGCGCAAGTACGTGACATGTATTCTCGTGTGATCTCGTGTGCATATATGTCATATAATGTCATATATATTATCTAGATTTATCTAGCCTCAATAAATCTGTGCTTATCTGACTACATTGATGCATTCCATATCATTCCATTATGTGCCGTATGCTTCTCAACATTTCTTCCTGTTCTTACAACCCAGTCCTCAATCGAGGCCAGCTCACTCCTGCAGTATGCATTGCGACAGCTTGCGTTGCGGCTAAATTTGCTAAATGCTCATCGATTCAAAAAACACAAAAAAAACTGCAAGATGCAAGAAACAGTTTAGATTGCCAGTTGAAGTTCTGTTTAAGTGGGTCCTTCTTAAATGACAAGACTGGCATTGAGTCACAAATCCTGACATTGAGTCGCAAAATGTCATCAATGAATACAGATGATCTCTTGTTTGGTTCAATTTCGGAAGTCAGTGGAAGCTTCTCCCATGAGGAGATGGAGATGGTGTTCCCGCCGAACCTGATTTGCTGAGTTTCAATCTCCGCTTCTTTCTCTACCTCACCTGTGATGCATGGCATATGCATGGCAACGTGGTTCAAGTGGCAAGGTGACGGGAAGGATGAAACAAAATGAAAGAAACATCCAAACATATCCAAATCAGACATATGCTATGTAGAGATGCCAATGCAGCTTGATACCGTATGTGTTGAGCTTTTCCTCGCAGTGTAGTGGCCTGCTGATGACGATGCAGTGTCTTTCGGAATAGACTTCCTCTTCATCAAGCAAAACAGGGTCTTTGAGTCAAAGGGTTGCAACTCATACATCAACGCACCAGAGTAGTGGAGTACTACAACTGTACATAATAAAAGGGTCCGGAATTGTTTTGGGAATGATTTTTTGGGGATCTCCTGTTCTATCCGTTTCCCTTGCTATTTGCAGCATTTTGGAGCTGGAAACTGCCATTTCAACGGCATTTTGCAACATTTTGGAGTTAGAACCTCTCATTTGCCATGGTATTTGCAACATTTTGGTGTTCGAACTATTCATGTCGCATGGGGGTTGACTTGGGGTCTGTTTTCGGGTTGGTTTAGTTTTTTGGGTTGGTTTTAGGTTTATTTTTGGGTTGGTTTAGGGTTGCTTAGGCCTGGTTTAAGGTCTAGTTAGGGTTTGTTGAGGATCTTTAAAGTTTGTTTAAGGTTTATTTCGGCTTGGTTCAGGGTTTGTTTAGGCTTGGCTTGAGATCTATTTAGGGTTGGTTTAGGATCTATTTGGGGGAAGTTTTCATATTTATTTAGGCTTTGTTTAGGGTTTAGTTTACTTCGGTTTTTTTATTATTCTTTTTGGGTTGGTTTGGGGTTTATCTAGGGTGGTTTAGAGTTTATTTACATAGTCTGTCTTAGGGATTGTTTTGGCTTGAAAAGCAAAAACGCAGGGAAACCAGAAAAGCAGAACAGCAAAGAAGCAGAGAAGCAAAGAAGCAAGGTAAAGCAGAAAACCAAAGAAGCAAAGAAGCAGGGAAAAGCATAAAAGCACACAGCAGAGAAGCAGAAACGCAGAAATCTTGAAGAAGACAAGCAAAGAGGCAGAAAAGCAGAGAAGTAAAGAAGCAGGGAAAAGCAGAAAACCAAAGAAGCAGGGAAACAGAAATCCAAGAAACAAATCCAAAACGGGAAAAACATAATTCACCCAAAAAATAGCCCTCCATAGTAAAACCCAGCTGGGTGTTCTCCAAAGGTACAGAGAGACGGCTGATGCCAAGGCATGTTTGTCAATGGGATCGTGTGAATTAGCAATCCTTCCTTGGGGAGACACCAACAGCACGTGGAAATGCATCTCACCCATCTCCTTTCCCCATTGCAAGTCACCTGCATCAGCAGAAGGGTCTGCACCTTTCTGCTGTATCGCAACCTCTCAGCAGTGAGGCAACAAATCTCAGGGAACACCTACAAACACTAAGAAACACATGTGTCTTCTCCAGGATTCTAAGCCTTCCGAAGCTCTCTTAGGGAACCTTTCCCATTTCCCAGCTGCCAAGAACCACTGAATCACCCACCTTCAGCGCTTTCTGATTTTCCAAAGTGCTTTGTCGATCTTCCGCTGCCTTGCTCAGGGCATTCTAGGGGATAGATGTGAATAATAACAAAACAAAGCATACATTTGTAAGCCTGGTGTGTTGCCCATGAAAACAAACAATATGCAGGCTATTGCAGGCTTGAGCATGGACAAGCAAAACTAGACCCTTGAGGTTAACTTCTGCACCAAAGGCAGTGTTGTTGGATTTGTTCATTTAAGGTCCAGCGGTGGTGGGAGCAGCGGGGTTGGTGTGTGTGTGTGTGTGTTTTTTTTTTTCGTTTATATAGATCTTTGGCTTTCAATGTTGAAGTCTTCAATTTCAAGACCAGATTGTTTTGCTTGATGCGTCTTGGTGCTGTGCTTATCCTGCTCACTTGTCTCCTTCCTTGGATACCTATCAATCAGCCTGTCTCTCTCTCTCTCTCTGTATCGTATCCGCATCTGTATGTGCCGTTCCAGGTTTGATGTCCTATTTGATTCCACAGTATTCCACATACCTTGTGGATACCTTGTGGAAGCTACCTTGTGGAAGCTGGCCTTTCGAAGTGCTCGATGCAAGTCCTGGAGAAAATGTGTCGCTTTCAAAAGTCTCAAATCATGCACTGTTGATATGATACGAAACATGACGGAACCACAACAAAATGACATGGAAGAACAATATATGCTGTCTGTTGATGTGTATCGAATATCTGTTGATCATGCCATTACCGTGTGGCTGAGGGTCCCTCCTGATGTCGTTGCCGTTCCCTGTAGATCTCATCATTGAGATTCTCCATGCGTTGCCTGCCGTTTCTACGTGGAAGCTTCAGTGCTTTCAGCTTCGATATGAGTCTGTCCAGAAAAGGGGTATGCTCCAAATTATGGCCATCAAAAATGGGGTTTTCACAATGATAAACCAAAGGATTTGGGGTTTTCACAAACTTTCCTATCTATGGTGTCATGGTTTCTTCAAGGATGGGAAAAATGATCTTCCCCACCTCGGACTTTGAGATCATGAAATCTTAGTCTTGGCTCATGTGCAACCAAAATCTCAACAAACGACACGACCAACAAAGATAATCCATCATAATCCATTGTCCAACTTCAGAATTCAGCATGTCAGATCATGACAAATCATGTCAGAATGATACCGTATGACGCTTTCGTGGACTTCAACACCTGGCAGTTTCCGCCAGTGACTTTTGGGCGCTTTCTTTGGACTCCAGGGCCTCACTTGCAAACTCTGTGAATCACCTTGTCAAACTACTCTTGGTAGTCACATTATCACAACTTCCGCTGCAAGACAAACCTGAAGTCACATTGGCATATATCAAAACAGTATACAGTACAACAATCACCCTTCGTTCTTCTACAGGTCTCGAAGGTCAAACAAGTCAAGTAGTCGGCGGGCGTTTTGTTCACACGAAACCAGTTGCCAAGTACAAGGATGCACGTATGCTACGGATGCAACCATACCGTTGCTATAGGTTATACCTATAACCTAACAAGATCTAACAAGGAACTTTGGTTCGTGAGCCAATCCAAAGAAATCCAAAAGTCCTCCTTCCCAAACCTCTGGCAACCACCGTATCCATGTGAAGTAGAGATAACTCAGGAACTTCAAAGGCTGCCAAATCATGAGCAAATACATGCAAATACAGTATCAGCAGTTGTGAACCTGCATGGAATCTCATCCCGATTTGATCCGGCGTGACTGGGATCAGCACCCGCATCTCAGACAGTCTGGCCTTTGCATCTGTCTTAGCTTCAATGTGTTTCACCTCAGGACAGCCAGTTATTGGTCCACCAGAAAACAATATCACCTGTATCACCAATCAGCCTGTGAAGCACAGGATGATCTTTACAGTGGAGATTTGCAGCTGCCCCAAGATCCCGAAACCATGCCACTTGCCGTAGCGCCGTAGCATCATGACATGCGCTCCAAATTGTTCATGTTCATGTCCCCAGTCGCCGCCTCTGGAATGACGACTTGTTGTAAGGCCTGGCGCCAGTAGTTGTGACACAATCTTCAGCGAAATCAAAAGCCTCAAAGGTCCTTCGTAAGAACTGCGGATTTCCAGTGAAATCTTTCAAGGAATAAACTTGCGACACAATATTTTTGGACATGCTTGGACCCTTTGTAGAATTGGGGCAGATGTTTTCAACAGCACCGAATCGCCAGATGCGGAAGAAGCAATTAATCGTTGTTGGTACGTCCACGGCTTCGGGCTGGGGTTTTCGACGCTTGCGAAACTGCGAAACCCCTTGTTTTAAGAGTGGCACTGGGCAACACACATCCGTATTGGTCAGAACTGGGATGATTGATGCTGAAAAGGGCAACAATCTGTGGTCCCCCCGTTTTTTGGACTATGGAATGCATGCTTTCATCATGTTTCAGTATCAGTCTGGTTTCCCATGCTAGAACAATCTAGAAAAGTTGCAACTGACAATTGGTTTGCTTTGAATGACCGCTGAAATGCGAAGAAAGTAGTCCTGCTTCGCATGGGACACACTAGTCGGAAAGACGCAAAGACTTCAAAAGCAGCATGTGGTCGCACTCTTTGAACATCATGCCACAGCATAGCCCACGATCTTTGTCGTGCAAGGCCAGTCTCCGTGGCAAGGATAGTGCTTCCTCGGCGCGTGGAAGGACTTTAGCAACAGCTGACGGAGACCAACTCGTGATGGCCAACTTTCCATCACTTGGGTAGTGCCTATCTGGTGCCTTGCGTGACTCAAATGTTTTAGTTCGTCTTGCAGATCCCGATTTGAAAGTCTGTTTTGTACCATCAGCCACATGAATTTCCAGACTCTCAACATCTCTCAACCATTATCGTGTAGCAGCCAGTGTAGCATTTCCTGGATCTCGTGATGTCGTGCTTGGTAACCTGAGCTCATACAGGTCGAGCCTCATGACCGGAAGTTTCCGGAAAAGTCCAGATTCACCACACACAGAAGAGATCCACTCATCCTGCTGCCTCGACATGGAACAATACTGTGGGTCCCTGTGGGTCCCTGTGGGTCCCTGTGGGTCCCTGTGGGTCCCTGTGGGTCCCTGTGGGTCCCTGTGGGTCCCTGTGGGTCCCTGTGGGTCCCTGTGGGTCCCTGTGACCTTCAGAAAAGATTAGCATCTAAGTCATCTTCTCAAGCAGTCACGCACAGAGATATAAATGGATATAAATTACAATCAGTTAAAGGAGACTAACACTAGAAGTAATAACACCAATGACTATAACTATAAGTACAAATATAGATATAAAATGATATAAACATGCCGGTCAACATGAATATACATGTAAATACAGCACATATCAATTACACAATGTAGTAGACACGAGCTCATGCATTTGCACTTCGCAAATCCGGACAGGTGGTTATTAAGTTATTATGGACCAAAGATGACCAAAGTAAAAACCAACACTATTTTGGTAGAAAATGGTAGAAACATGATGAAAATTTGATGAAACATGTATGGACCATGGCTTCTCATGGCTCCATTCTGAATCATTCTGACACGCAGCTTGTCACAACAGAGCCGCGCAGCTCCAGACCCCAAGCTGCCTTGTAAGCCGACACCCGTCACAGCAATAGCTATGCAGTGGGTCCAAGATCTGCAAAGCGGCTCACCGGGCAAAGGGATGGAGCTACCATAAGCTACAAAGATCGATGTAAACGTCGCATCATACATTATATTATTATGTAGTAAGTACCCAGTGTGTGTGTTTATTTTTTGCGGAAACTTGTGAATGGTGGGATCTGAACTCTCAGGAGGCACCAATTAAAAGCTCGCAATGTGCCAAAACTGCGGTTTGCACATCTTGTCCTCAAAAAGTATTGAACTACAACGGTTTAGAGTTTAAAGTGTGAATTCTGGCAAATCGATGCATTTCACATGATATATAACTTTATACTTTAAATAGCTTAAATTGAAGTCATGATGTGAGAATCTTTGAGCTCATAAATGGAAATACATTACACACTTTGCAATGTCCCAAGATTTGTCTATTCAACCCGCTGACGCCACGCCAAACTTCCCCTTCAGCGCCTTCTGTTGCCAGTGAAGCGCACAGCCTTTGGGCGCATGTATGTGCTCTAAGAAAAGGTACCGGCCTTTCGGTTTCAGCACCCGAGCAATTTCCTGGGAGAAGGATGCAAAAGCCAAGGGACCAGCAGCAAATCCAAGAGCCAATCTTCTGCTGATCATCACATGCTCTCCAAAGCTGACTCAAGATATCATTTTGTAAGATTTTGAATAGATTTTGTAAGTTCTCCTTGTACATGACCCACATCGCGGAATATCATGCCAAATAGTGAGGAAATCCTATCCATTGGAATAATTATATTGGAATGTAGGGGTGGCAGGACCTATCTGATCTATCTGTCTGTACACAAATAAGAAAACACTGCTGAGCAAATCAACCATCCCCCGCGACCCCAAATGTGGAGCGCCATCCATTTTCCATCGCGTCTCTTCATCCATTTTCTCCAAGTGTCTGTCAACATCCTCTGTGGCTTGTCCACACTGCCTGAGCTTGAAAGTTGGACTATATAGTAAATTATAAGTAACAAAATTATATATTAATACATAATCCCAATGAGCAGTGTGCAAATCAACCCCGGAGGGCATAAAGCCAACAAATACCAACACAGTCTCCAGTTTTGTTCGCTGAACTTGGCCCAGCCACACATCACCAAAGATCCAACTACAGCATCAAACTGTGCAGCTGGAAATGGCAACGATTCAGCAAAGCCTTTCACTGCATGGAATTCCACACCTGGCAAAGGCTTGAGTGGCCACCCGCAGGGTGGGTGGCTTTTGAGACGGACTGTCAAATATGGTAAAACGTCAAACCACTTTAAGCAGCGCTGGAAGTTCCAGGGAAAGCAGGGGAAAAAGGTAACTGTAGATTATCAAACTACCCATCTCCTGTCAATTTACTGATCGAAGCCCTCTGCCAAATCAAAACACGTTCGCTTTGTATACAACCTCCCGTGCACCCTTGTGCACTGCATGTGCAGCTACAAACGCACACAAAACCAACGCAAGATGTCGGGTTTGTCCGATAAATCATCTGCTTCTAGCCTTCAGGGCATGGCCAAAGGAGGTCAGAGGTCACATCAGGGTCCAAACCAGTTAGAGATATTCCAGCTGGATATAGCCTTGGCTGCAGAGTCCAGTCAGAAGCTTGACCCCATGGGTTTGGGGTAGATCTTCAGTACGGGCAAGAGAAAAACATAACCTACGTAATGACACAGCTTATTCGATGACCTGATGAGCCTGATGAGATAATAGAGTACGTATATACTATAAAACTAAAAATATAGATATAGAATTCATAGAATGATATAGATTGCATAGCCAGTCTTGTGGTGCACTCAAACAGGCAATCGCTACAGAATCGCTACAGCCGTGCCAAGAAACGGCAGGTTGGATGCCAAAGGGCCAACCCCGCAACCAATTTCCAGCACTTCGGTACGAGTACCGGCTGGCAGGAACGACCTGCAGGTCACAACTACCAGGTCCTACCCGGCTTCACCAAACACACAAAGCGGAGGGCACTTGCTGTTGTTGGGAGGGTATCACTGTAAGATATTGTAAGCACCAGTAGCAGGATCAAAACCACAAGATTTAAGCATGGATTGGAAATATAGGGAGGCTGCCTGAACCCTGTCGACTCTTATTTGATCAAGACAAAGGCAACACGGTGAAGGTGAAACAAAAAACGACGTTCTTCCCGTGGATTCTGCCATGTTCTGAAGCCAAGCTCCAATCAGCGCTGAGCCACTCGTGCAAGTTTGCAGAGTCCACGGCGGCTACAGTTGGGAGCTTGATGCCCAGATTGAACTGATATTGAATCATATTGAACTCACAGAAACATATGTATATATATATATATGTATATATATACATAATGTAATATATATATATGATATATATAATAATATATATATATAACAATATATAATACATGCTATGTATACATAATATGTATATATGTAATAATATATATATAATATAATACTATATCATAGTGATTAAGATGCATGTATTATATATATATTATTTTATAGTTTATATATATATAGATAAATCATCATAGACCATCCCAAACATTTTCAGAAATTCACCGTGCCACTCCAAATGCAAGGCACAGCATCTCCTCCCGCGCTTGCATGAGCCGTGGAGGATCGATCCCCTCCAGAATTCTTCGATAGGCACCCACTCCTGAGCCGACTCGATGGGCATTGGGAGGATTCCAACGAATTCCAACGATTTTTTTTACATGAATCATGTTGAATCATGCTGAATCTCATGTGGACATATTTGGAATAACATTGGATAACCAACTTTGATGAACTTTGCACCTCTCTGGCTCCAACATTCCTTGTTGTTCCCGTTGTTGTTTGCCACACAACCAAGATGCCATGGGCTGCAATCATGATGTCATCGTACACCTCTCTGGATGAGTCTGACTTCATGGCCATCTGGACCTGCTGCTCCAAGAGATTCCTCGGTGAAGTTGTTCAACAACAATTCTCACGATGGAACATCATGGAACCACGAGATAACGGCTGGTGAACAACATGGAGCAAATGATAACACATGTAATTCCCACAGTTTTGCGTTCTTTGCCACGCGACGCGAAGGGCCCTAATCAAATTGCCTTTGCTCACGAATACGTAGTGAATGAAAACATGAAGTATGAGCTGTGGAACTGTGGGATTGTTTGCAGAATTGTACTGTAGACCATCGAAGCAAGATGAAGATTCAGAATGTCCCTGAATTTGTACAGGTCACCAATCAGGACAGGCTGATCCTCTCTGCACGTTCCGATACGTTCCGTGTCGATCATACCGGATCAAACCAAGCATCTTTTTGAAAATCTGGTCTGTGCTCAGTTTCATGTTGAAGCTTCGCCCCACAGCATCTCCAAAGTTGCTCCTTCCTGAAAGCTGGCTCCATAGCCGACAACACGGCCAAACCAAGGGCAATGGTTCCATGGGACTAAGAGGCCAAAAGAGTATCTCGTTCAATTTTCCGTGAACGTGCTGTATTCACAAATAGATTGCGATTTAAAGCACACATAGTTTCAGAATGCTGAGAGGTTTTCAATGCAATTCTGCCAAAGTGAGCTGTGCCATGCGTCTCAACCTGGAATAGACTCAAAGACCACAGAACTTCAATTGCAAAGCTGAGAATCCTCTCGGCACAGCAAGACAGGCTACCTCACTTCAATGCAACTGTTGCAAAGATGCAACTGCAGGGAAGCTTTCTAGAGCAGAGGAACTGCACAAGTGCTTCAACAAATTCAACAAAACAATTCCTGGCCATTGTGCAGAACATCTCCTCTGATTCACAATCAACACAAAGTGCTGGTGTCACATTCGGCACTTGTGAATTTAATTGAATCAAATCAGAACACTGGTGAATCACCATACTCACAATGGAAGAAAGTCGTGATTCATGATTCATGTTGTGAGCGTGTTCCCACGCCAGCCTGTGTTCGGCACCCAATTTCCTTGCCGCATTTGACTGCTTTGGAGAAGGCTTCGATTGAACCACCATCACAATATATCACAATGCAGAATCAAGAACCCTCATCACAGTTTCTGTTCTTTGTTTATTTATTTTTCATTATTTTTCTATCTGTTTGCTTGTTGCGTTCGGTGAGCTGGTTTGTTCTTGCTGCGTTTCACAAATCTTGTCCCGCATTCAGAGGAGAACTGCTTGCATGATTTCCTGACACGGGAGGGTTTAAATTCTAAATGGCTTTCCTTTGCAGCCTGCTGAAATCTGCTGAACCTTCATAGTCCTTTTCAAAGTTTGCGTTGTCACGTCAGCTGCCAGCCGAGTGTCACATGCCGTGAGGAGGGCAAGTAGCAGGACACGAATCCAGCGCATGAGGTGCACAAATATGGAATCATCCTCCACCCTGACCACCAACGCAACCAAGTCATCTTTACTTTGCCCGAGGATGTAATCAATGGCCCTCACTTGAGGTTTGATGGAGGTGTTTTTGACATGCGTGGTCCCGTGTCCCATGTTGGGTTCTCGTGCCTTGTTCTGGCGTTCTTGACAGGGGATTCATTTATATATGTATATATAATATATATATATATATTCTATTATATAATATAATATAATATATATATATATATTATATATAATTTATATATATATATATATATTATAGATATAATTTATATATATATATATGTGTGTGTATTATAATTTGGGTTTCTATTTCTATTCGCTGAACCCAGCTGCAGCAGCCCTGGATGACATGCACACACTGGCATCATCAGGACGTTTTGAGCCCTCAAGCTGCATATGAAAGCAAGAGAAACTTGAAGTGCCATGCAAGAATGCAAGAATATGGCAGACAATACCATTAACATCCATTAACATCCATTAACATCCATTAACATACATTAACAGTACTGAACCCAGGATGCTTTCAAAATTTTCAAATCCATGCTCTTTCTCTACGAAGTGCCTTGAGGCCATCTCCCGCCTCCTGCTTTTCGAGCAACGATTCTCGAAGTTTCGAAAGCTTAGCTTCATCTGTGGCCTCTGGCTATCTCTGGCTGAGTTGAGAAAGATCTTGAAATTCTGGATTCGGGATTGCCTTGGATCTGTTAGGATCTGTTAGGCAGGTTCAACCCAGAAAATAGATGAACATAGTAAACCAATGTAAACCAGGGTGTCAAAGAAAAACCAGACGGTGCCCGAAACAGAGATCAAATGCAACATCTGACCTGAATCTTACAGATATGAACAGCCCGGTCTCTTCCAAAAGTAGCCACATAGAGGTCATTCTATGTAATTCTTATTTAATCTTCTTTACACGAGCTTTTGGCCCGGGGCTTGCCAGATAGTTAAGCCGCCTTCAGCAGAAACCCGGGACACCGTTCTCTCTAGATGGACCTGATCATTTCAGATCAACCTCATGGGGCACAGTTCTCGCTAGTTGCCTATGTGGTGCAGTATGACAATGGCATCCTGACCTGCAAGGGCCTCTCCCCACAGCAGGACTTTACGATTGGTGGAGCACCGAACATTCAGGCTGGGCTCTACACGATTTACGATGTGATGCGTTCTCAGGAGGACTGTGACTGTATCACTGTTCCTGGTGAGACAGAATTCCATGTTCATCAGCCCAAACGTGAATTCCAAAATGTCACCATCATTGACCTCTGTAGTGGGATGGGTGGTTTCTCCATTGGTTCCAATCTACTTGGCATGCGTACCTCTGCATTTGTAGAAAGGTCAGCACTTGCTTGTGATGCGTTGAGGGCCAATTTCACCTGCCCGGTCATTGAGGGAGATCTAGGAGACATGCAAACCTTGAAGCAACTCCATGTTCATCGAGGCAATGACTTTCTCCAAATCACCGGAGGTTTCCCTTGCCAGGGCTTTTCTTCCCAAGGTGATCAAATGGGCATGGAGGATCACAGGAGCCATAGCCTGACATACATCCTCCAGGCAGCCTGGTTTCTTCAGGCAGACTCAGTGCTCCTGGAGTGTGTGGCCAACGTGGTGAACTTTCCATGTGCCCAAGAATGCATTGATCACTATGCTTCCTTGGCGAAGATGCATACCACCAAACAGGTCTTTGACTTACAAGCTCAGTGGCCAGTTCGACGAAACAGGTATTGGTGTCATCTTTTACGTCAAGACCTGCCATGCATCGACATCCCAGTTTGGCACCCTTCTCCATGCTTCAAAACACTTGGAGACATTATGCCGCTTGATGCAATTTGGAGTGATTTTGAGGAGCAGCAGCTTGAATGGGATCCAAGTGAACTTGCCATTTACCTGGACCCAAGCTTCGGCACGGACTCCAGAACCTTGCAAGCGGATGCGAAAGCTCCTACAGTTTTACACTCCTGGGGCCATGTGAACAGGCCGTGCCCTTGTGGCTGCCGTGCAGCCTTTAGCATGTTGCGGCTTCGACGAGGTGGAGCACGTGGATTTGGGCTGATCTCAGCACGCAGTGGCAAGTATCGGCATCTTCACCATGAAGAAGGTGCACTCTTATGCACGGTGCCTCCAACTTATCGATTTCCCATGCCACCAAGAGCTGCCTTGAGTTTGCTGGGGCAGATCGCTGCTCCGTTGCAGGTCCTCTGGGTACAAGCTCACATCCTTGCAGGACTCCAGCAGTACTTCTGGGGGTGGACACACATTGCTCCATGCCAGGTGATCTACACATACCAATGTGCACTTGCGGCTCATGCTCCCACCAGATGGATCACACCAAGCATGTACCATCCACGAATGATCCAGTTGTACTTGGAGGATATGGACATTTGGCATGAGATCAAGATTGACACTCCGGTCACAGTAGGACAATTGCTGGCAGCCGAAAAATCACTCAGTGGTTGGGGGCAATATGCCATTGTGACTCATCAAGGCAACCGACTTCACTCAGAGGTCTTGCTCCTTCCCAACATTGCCTACACGGTCAAGCATTGTGTCAGCAAGCAAGTGAGGCCTCTCCCGATTTTGCTTCCAATCTTTGGTGGCGGACCAACAGGTGGTGAAGAACATGAACAGCTTGGAGATCGCCTGATATGGACTTTCATGCAGGCCATGATCTCCAAGTCAACCGCTGTGCAATCTCATCCTTGCCCATTTGTGCTCTACCCATTTAGAGCCAGTGACTTCCTCATGAAGCAGATTCCCAATGCGGTAGCCTATGCATGGCAGCAAAGCTTCCTGCGAGCCGGCTGTGATGTCTATTTGATTTGTGAACTCCATGGACATTGGATTTTCTTGCATGGTCTTTGGACTCAACAGGGTCGTGGACTTCAATGGACCCTTTACGATGGACTTCGACAGGGCCAGACCCTTCCATGGATGTTTCAAGTCACTCGAAAGCTCACAGACCTCCTGCGAGCCGAACACTTGGGACTCTTTGTGGCACAAGGTCTTCGGCAACTCCACCCCAATACGTGTGGTACGATTGCGCTCTTGCATCTGGCACAACATTTGCAACTCCTGGAAGGAACAAGCCACACTGAGATAGCCGAACTGCATGCATGGCTGCTCTCCCTTGACTTTGGCATCAGCTACATCTACGGGGGAGGACCGGATGAAAGCCAGCGACAACTTGCAGCTCTACTTGTCACAAAAGGAGTGCCTACATCCGCTGCTGATGAGAGGGCGAAGATGATCTTTAACAAGCTGGGCCACAAAAAGTTGCAGACCATATTCAAGGCCAAAAATGTTTGGGCTGAGCTCAAATCAGCAGCTAGTCAGCCCGGCATCATGTTCAGACTGGTGACCATGGAGGAACAAAAGCAATACATTGCTGAGCGGGCCAAGACCAAGCATGGGGCTCAGATTTCCAACCACCGTGCCAAGAAAGCTCTCAAGAACAAGGCACATGAGGCACCACTTCATCTCGACCCCAATCAGTTTGACTTGGATGCCAACCACTTCAAGGATGAGAATGATTTGCCTGTGCCACAGCTTGCTTACACGGATGTGGAGACAGAAGCCCGAGGTGTTGCACTCTGCACACTGGACATGGCTCATCATTTCTTGGAGCAAACCAACTCAATCAGCACAGATGCTTTGGCGTTGCTTTTCGTTGATGTTCATGATGCGGACTTGATTGCCAACTCAGGCCTGAAACCAATTGTCATCCCTGCCAAGTTCAAGGGCACAGGGGAAACAACATTGATCTATGGCCACATTCTCCAAATTGGAGACCTCCAAGTCAGCAGGGAATCTGCCAGTCAAGACTCAAGCCCGGACGTGATTGACACCAAGGTCATCAAAATCCAAGTGTTCCGAGACCAATTCACGGCAGACTGGAACAGATTTGCCGATGCCCCAGTTCGCACTTTGATTGCTGCGATGGAGTCTCTTCAGCTCTGTAAAGGAGCACAATGTGGAGCAGCCTGCAATAAGTTCCATCCCGGGCTTGATGAAGCCATTGACAACATGATTTTTGAGCTTTGGGCTCGGAGCTTTTTTGATGATAGCGGCCGCAAGACAACCTCTGACCACGCCAGCCTGTTCACGGTCTTCATGCGTGTACCTGAGGGAGCTCTACACAAGATCATGCTTGGCACACCCCAGGGTGTTTATGTTGAGCCACGCGGCTCACAGCCTCGTGAACATGACGCCAACTACAAGATCGTTTGGCTCCCAGGTGCCACAGCAGAAACAGCAGCACACCAATGTCGTACGTATGACAAAGCTATCTGTTTGATGCGAATGAGGACCAAATTTGGCATCAGGGTCAAGAAGGAGGATGAGAAAGCTGCCTGGGCACACTTGAGACCGGGCATTGACTTTGTGGATATGCATATCCAGCTGATCTATGAGTTGTTCCCCATCCCGCATGGGACTCAACGGCTTTCCATCACCAAATTACTTAGTGATTGGGGCTGGACAGCGCGACCACTTCAGCCAGGAAAGGGCTCCTTTGAACACATGGCATGGAGAGTTGGAGCTCAAAATCCACCACCTAGCATGGTCATGACTGGATTTCAAAATGACATTGTCATCACACAGGTCAAAGAAATCAAGAACACTCAGCCACAGAAGCAGCTGGTCGCATCATCCAAGACTCACAAGCACCTTCGAGCGCAGCCTATGGGCACTACGGCAATCAAAAGTGGCCAAGATCCTTGGACAGATGCCGCCAAAGACCCATGGGCCAACTATGGAAGATCCACACTACCATCTCAGCAAGGGGATGGCAAGACTCGACTTGATGCCCTTCAATCAAAACTACGTGAAGATCTTGGCAGCAAACTTGCGGTTGATCTTGAACAACATGCACAAGCTGCTGTCAAAGCTGCAACTGCATCATCAGGCTCAGCCAATGGTCAGCATGAGCACAGACTCAAGGCATTGGAAGTTGGGCTTCAAGAGTTGCAGGGGCAAAACGCCCAATTCACCACATGGTTTCAACAAGCGGGAGACAGATTGCAAAGTACAGAAGCCACAATGGGTGCCATGCAGCAGACTTTGAACACCCATCAACATGAAATTCATGCGCTTGGAAGCACTTTCCAGGCCACCATGAAGAATGTGAAGGACGACCTTTCTTCTGAGATGACAGACTCCTTCAACAAGCAGTTGAGTAGGCTGGAGGCGCTTCTTGAGAAGAAGCAACGTCAAGCTTGACTATCACAAGCCGGGTCCGAACTTGGATCTATTCGGATGCCGGGATCAAGTACAAGGTCCATCTTTTCCATTAGCTGGATTTTCATGTTTTTGATGGTGTTCATCACACCTACATCGGCTCTGCAGCTGCATACACCCTTTGCCCAGTTCTTCAACCTCAGCTCGGCGACTTCGGTCGACCGAGAGTTCGGGTCGGGGGTGGCTTGCAGCAGTGTTCCTGAGCCATTGTTTGGACCAAACAGGTCATTGGACCCAAGTTTATGTCCCTTTTTTTCTCTTTCGTCCTCTCAGGAAGGTACAATACGATATGGTGAGGCCGACAATCCAGGCCCCCATTTGGGCAATGTGCTGACTGTGGGTGTCAGCAACCCTGGTGGACTTAGACAAAAAGAGGATGTTCTCTTAGATTTGGGACCAGGTATTTGGTCATTGGCAGAAACCCAGTTGTCTGTCAATACGTTCAAGACTTGCGCAGGCACACTACGCAACAAGGGTAGAGCAATGAATAGAGAAGTTCGCCTTCTTGGGGGATCACCTGCGCCTCTGAGGCAAAATTCGACTTGGGCAGGTAGTTGGACTGGCGTCTCGGTGCTTTCAGATGTCCCTGCGGCAGCTTTGGACGTTCCCTGGCCTATGGAGCACTGGAACAGCGGGCGTGTCTTGCTCACACGCCACTGGGCGCATCAGCTTCCCATCACCATTGGCACATTCTATGGATACGCTCAGGGCCCTACTTGGCCGCGTGCCAAGCAATTGAGTGATCAACTTTTGGAGACTTTTACCACGGAACTCATCCTGGGCATGAGCGGTGTGCGATTAGTGATGGGTGACTTCAACCAGGAGCCAGGGCAACTGCTACAGCAACAACTCTGGCAACGACATGGATGGCGAAGCGCTCAGGATGTTGCAGCTGATTTCTTTCAACATCAATGGGTGCCAACATGCAAAGGTGCCACTGAGCGAGATCAAATTTGGATGTCTCCTGAAGCCATCCAATTGTTGCGTGGTCTTCAAGTGACTGAAGAGTTCATTGATCATGCTACACTTTGCATTCAGCTGCAAGTTCCAGAACAACAGGTGTATGTGCACCGATGGCCAAGACCGGCACAACTTCCTTGGCATCTGATTGAGGCTTCCTCATGGGATCCCGCCTGCAATTTTGCCTTTGAAGCTGGACAAGATCCCACAGTTTTCTACCAACAGTGGGCTTCACAGTTTGAAGATGCTTTTGCACACCAAGTTCACTCACAAGGGCATTCACGTGTCCCACAAAGATGTTTCGGGCGTGCCAAACGACTCCAGCCTCTCAAGCAGGAACTCACCACTCCTACTTGCAAACCAAGCCGAGAGGGAGAAGTTCGCATCGCCAACTCTATGGCGGGCACAGCCACTCGGATATGGTTCAAGCAGCTCAGACGACTGCAAAGCCTTAAACATGCTGTGGCAGCTGCAAATACCTCACCTTCAGCAGTGGCTTATCGAATTGAACTTTGGAATGCGATCAGAAGATCTTCAGGCTTTTCACCAGATTTTGCAACTTGGTGGAGCGAACAAGCACATGAAGTTGAAGGGGTCCCTTGCACTTTACCTTTGACAGTGTCCAAGCCATTTATGATAGCTTCTATCGTCACTTCAGGAGCTTTGAGAGTTGGCATCTCAGAGAACGTTCCAAGAGCCTGAAGACGAAGTATGAGGGTTCACTTGAAGCCATTTTTTTGGACTTGCGACAAGATCCACGTCCTGGAGTTTCTCATATATGGAAAGAGATCCACTACACCATTTTGGCGGTGGACACCGATGGCAAGCAAATTCACCTGGACAGACCTGTACAGACCAAATTTGATTCTGTTTGGTTTCATGACCAACATATGCTCTCCATTTCACCTGTTTCAGAAGATGTTTGCACAGTTACATCGCCTGAATTTTTGTCGCCTGGAGATGAGTTGGTCCAACGTTTCTTTTTGACTGACGCCAACGACGTCCTGCATGCTTTTGAAGAGCACTGGACACCTCGATGGAATCAGCTGGCCTGTGTCTCTGAGGCTGATTGGCAACGAATGGTGGGCTTCGTGACTCATTACCTACCTCCAGGGCAACTTCACCTGGAGCCTTTGAGTTTGGACACATGGATGCCAACAGTGCGCACCTTTAAGCGCAATGCGGCCAGGGGCTATGATGGCTTCTCTCGTGCTGATCTTCAAAATATGCCCAGTGCCTTTTCTTCTGCACTGCTTCACATGTTGAACCAGATAGAAACCAATGAACTTGCATGGCCACAGCAGATTGCATTTGGAGCAGTCATCGGCCTGAGCAAGGTGGACTATGCGCATGAAGAAGGGCAATTCCGCCCTATCACACTGTTTTCTACAGTTTACCGAGCGTGGGCACGGCTTAGAACCAAGCAAATTCTTAGACAGCTTGTGGACGTGCTTCCTCCGGAAGCCCTTGGTTTTCTTCCCAGACGGGAAACCACTGAAGTCTGGTTGATGCTGCAGGCGCAGATCGAGTTCATGCTTCAATCTGGCCAGCATTTTGCAGGGCTATCAACAGACCTCAAAAAGGCGTTCAACAACATTGGCAGGAGGCAGGTTTTCTTGCTGGCCCAGCATATGGGCATACCAGCACGACTTTTGAGACCCTGGCGACAGTTCCTGAGCCAATTTGTGAGGCGGTTTGATGTCAACGGATGCATTGGCAATGAGATCTCCTCCAATTCTGGCTTTCCTGAGGGCTGTCCGCTCTCCATCCTTGCCATGTTGAATGTGAATTGGTGCTACCATGCGTATATGAAGCATTTTTGTCCCAGAGTTACTTCTTACTCATTTGTGGACAATTTGACTTTAGCGGCTCGAGAGGCCCTGGATGTCATTCAAGCTTACTTTGCCTTGCGTACAATCTGCGCGCTTTTTGGCCTGGAGACAGATGATGGCAAAACATACGTGTGGGCCTTGACCAAGCCTGCACGAGACTGCCTTGCACAACTTGGTTTTCCATGTCAAACAGACGCATGTGAGCTGGGGGGGGCTATGACATTTGGAGCATCCCGCAGAACTCGACTGCTACGCCAACGTGGCACCAATCTTCAAACCAGATGGAAGAAGCTCAGGCGATCGCAAGCGCCAACTCCTCAGAAGCTGTCAGTTCTTTCCAAAGTTTTTTGGCCGCAGGCTTTTCATGGGGCTGCAAATGTTTTGGTTGCTGACAGCTATGCGGGAGATCTGAGAAAAGAGGCAGTGAAGGCGCTCAAGCTCAATGGCGCAGGGGTTAATCCTCTCCTCCGCCTTTCTTTGGTATCTGACATGACTACAGATCCTGGCTTTTACCAACTCCATTCTTGTCTGGCAACCTTTCGACGGATGCTGCATAAAAGTCCGGATTTACTGCCCATGTGGAAGACCTGGATGTCCAATTTCACAGGACATCTACTACCTGGACCGTTTTCGCGACTGTTGCAATGTTTAACATCGATTGGATGGCGCATTGAAGAACCTCCTTGCGTGCGTGATCACGAAGGGCATGTTTGGAATTTGGAGCAGATGGATTTCAAAACATTTCGTTTTTTGCTGGAAGATGCGTGGCTACAACAAGTCGCGGCACAGACCAAACACAAAACCATGCAAGGGTTGACTGGCATCGATGGCTATCTCACCTTGCTGGACATCAATGCCATGAATGCTTTGGAACGTGCTCGCCTTTCAGCACTACACTGTGGAGCCTTCATGACCAATTATGAACATTCGCACTATGATGTCGAGAAGACACCCATGTGTGAACAATGCGGCTGTGAAGACGACAGAGTGCACTGGTTACGATGCCCTCGCTTTCAGCAAATTAGGAATGACATCCCAGACTGGTGCTCAGACAATTTGCAGCTGCCGCCTTGCACGCTTCATCATCTGCTCGTGCCCAGACAGCCCTGCATGGTCAGATGGAGGCAGACGCTCTGTCAACCGGACTCTGATGGCATTGTTTTCTTGGTTCCGCCCCCCAAACAAGGGTATCATCATGTTTTTTTGGATGGTTCTTGTAAACAAGATAGACACCCTGTTTTAAACGTTGCTGCTTGGGGAATAGTTAATGCCACCTTGGGTTTAGCTATTGCGGCTGAACACCTCCATGGAGTCAGCCAGTCAATTGACCGATCGGAGTTGACTGCACTTTTGGCGTGTTTGAGATGGGCCACTGGAACTGAGCTTGGGCTTTGCATTTGGTCAGACTCATACTCCACCATTCAGATTGCAGAGTACATCCTCCGCTACCAGCTCATACCTGACGGAGTGGCAAATTTGGATCTCTGGACAGAAGTGTGCTCGCTTTTGAAGGATAGACAGGGTATAACCACTGACCTTCGATGGGTGCCTTCGCACATCCCACCAACAGCTGGAGAGGATCCATTTGAGGATTGGATCATCCACTGGAACGATGCTGCAGATAGACTTGCCTGTTTTACCAACAGGACACGATCTTCAGCTTTTTGGGCATGTTACCGAGCGGCCAGCTCTACTTTGGATGGATGGGCAAAGCGTGTCAGACAACTGCGCAAGTTTTACTTCAAGGTTGCAGACCACACCAAGTCAGAAACACCCCCAGATGCAGACCATGTCAGCATTGCTTCATCTCATGATGACCCCGAATGGCTCTGGCTTTCTTGGGAGGATCACCTTCCAATTAACTGGCGGGTCAAATGCCAGCATGGTGACTTCAAAGTTCCTGGAGCCTTCATCATTTCGCTGATCGAATGGATCTGCGCTTGTGAGCGACTTGAGGGAGCCGTTAGAAGCGTCAGTGATCTTGAATTCGTTTTTGCCATCCTTTTAGACAAGGGCTTCAAGTTTCCATTTGCCATTGATGGCACGCAGGGGTTGCAACTGAGAACACCGGAATCTCTTTTCCAACGCCCTACTGTAGGCGTAATGCTCCGTAGCGTACAGTTTGCAGTTCAGAGCATTCATGCCATGTTTTCTGATTTTGTGATCAGGACCGAGCCACGTCAGGCCACTGAGCTTGGTGTACATATCAGAATGCCTGGTCTTAGGATTCATTTGCCTGACCAGGTGTGGCAGCAGGCAAGATCACATGTGCAAAGATTCACTTCTACCAGGGAGGTGCGTCGATCACAAGACATCGCACGGCCGATGTGACCAGGACAGGCTGCCGCTGCACCGCTTTGCTGTGCACTGCAGCTGAGAAGCAGTCCGAGCTAATCTTCTTTACACGACAAATCCTCCCGTATTTGCAAACAATCAATGTGTGTTTGATGAACTCAAAAGATGCTCGGGATGAATGGGGGGGGCCGAGTGTTTGACAAAACTTTGAAAGATCGCAAAAAGAGCTGCAAGAGCTGCACTTTCAAGATCCTCGTATGAGGCAAATGCTCCCGAAAATCAAAGTACTGAACCTTCTGCTGCTCTCGAAGTTGCTCTGCTTGCCTGGACACTACACGATACTCTGGAAACCGCCCTGTTTGTCAGACTGTCAAGGGCTTGATCTGGTCTGTGGTGAATGTTGACAATTCCTGCACATGGTGTATTCCTTAAAATCTGGGCCCAAGACATTGTCAGTGAGGGATGGTGTGTTCATGTACATACATCGCTTTCTTCATTCGCTAGCAACACAAACACAGACTTTCTGCTTTTGAGATCTTTCAAGATCTTTCAAGTACAAAGTCAACAACATGCCAGGCATCACTGCGTTTCAACACACTACACACTTACTATGCGATGTCTCGCGCCTCTTTTGCTCGAAGGTCTCGGCCAATCTTTGCTCCGAGACCGCACAACGAGCGTACAAGCCGGTAATCTCAGCAATGATAAAAACAGCCAGCACATCTCATCACCAGATATCACCAGGTGTAAGCGGGTGTAAGCGGGTGCAATTGTTAGATGGGCACTAAAAAGGTGCTCAGGATGGTAGCCTTCCAGCCATCTCTAAGTTCTCAGCATTTCTCAACTGTTTCTTTGCCCAATTTCAATCTCAAAAAAAGTCGATTTCGCGCCAGGTCTTCAGTTGGTCAGGTGCAGTTGGATGTTCCCCTTGGCTCCCAGGCTTCAGTGTCAAGCTTTGAGATCTCCTCCAGGCGTTTACTGTTCTGTTCCTGGCAACTCACAGCTGAATCCTCAAAGTATGAGGAAAATATGAACAGCTCAGGGCTTGCTGTGCTGCATAATGTTGCATGTAATATGTTACAGGTACAAATCTGAAATCTATTATAATCATCTATAATTCATCTCTCCTAATATATCATATTTGTTGCCACGTGCTACAATTGAGATGAGGCAATGCGAATCGATGAAATAAATGACACAAGGAGCGTTGGGATGGCCCAGGTTGCTCAATCGATCCAAACAAAATTGCTGGTTGTTATGGTTGTTGAGGCGAGGACGACAGATTTGCTATTGGGCGAAATGGGCGAAATGGCAAGCTGCCAAGCTCAAACTTCATTCAACGTTTCACTGCGTCAATCTATGGCCTCCAGGGACTGAACTTGATGCTATCCCTGGTCCCTGACGGTCCCTGACCCGCCTAATCAACAGATATCAACAGTATTTCCAGAAAGTCTACACGTAATTCACGTAATCTGCCATTTCCATCCATTTCCTCCACAATTTCCTCATCCTTTCTTGGTCCTATGCCAACTGAGCCCTTCTTGACGGTATGTTCCGACCCTAATCCCATCCTGGATCTGATCCACACGACCAACAGTTTTCATTAGCTCTTCATGCACCTGGCCGAAGATGGCTTTAGGATGAATACGGATGAACCACATATTCCGCAAAGAGCGAACTGTCACACCGAAGCGTGACCTGTTTGCAACATTTTGCAGCTGTGTGCAGTGTAGTACATGTATGAACATCTAAGCCACGGGTGGCAAAGTACAGTATCCTTTTCAGGACTCGCTGGTCAGCTATCGTACTAGGGTCATGGTCTTTGACCATTTTATGCGAGGCAAAAGCGAACATTGAAAGCTGCATGGAAAACTTGCAAAATGATGCAGCATTTACACACAAGTCAAGTCGAGCACTGACCTGCAAAACGCGCAATTTTACTTGCAAGCATCAAGCTACATGGGCGAAACTGATCCACTTGATATCAATTGATCCATGCGAGCCTGCGCCATCAGGCGGCTGGCTTGGATCGACCTCATCCCAGCTCTGGGTCAAATGGGCAATGTTGGACACGAATGATGCACCATGCTACGAAATGCTACACACACAGAAATGAACTTGATGAGCCTATCGTCTATGTTGTTACATGATGTTATATAATGTCATATATATATAATATGTTGTTTGCTACACAGCTTCAAGCAACGCTAGAGTTGAAACTGAGTCCACATCTCTGATCATTGCTAGTCCGAAAGACATGTGACATCCTAAGAAGTGCCCCATGTATCCCAGACAGCGTCAATGCGGACCAGTTTACGATTTTCCTTCCTCCTTCAAAGTTTTCCAACAGGAAAGGGACAAACTGTGCATTTCTAAGGTCGCAACTGCCTTGACTCGTCCATGGTTCCGTGCCGCGTGTTTCACCCAGCTTATGACAACAGAAAGGCTCTGTCTTGGACATGGGCACATCGATATCTCGATTATTTCAGATTCTATCGACCCCCATGGCAACCAAGCCCCTAGCAACACTACTGGATGATCAAAGATGTTGCCGGCTGTGTGCTTCTGGGTCTGGCGTGGCTACTGAGTACAAATGATTTGGATGGTCTGTGTTGAATTGTGTTGATTTGGTATGTGTAGATGGAACCACTATGCCACCCCGCACTGTGTTGCATGTCGCCGTTTTCAGCAGTGAATTCCTCTTGACCAAAAGGAACGCACGAAAAGATGAAGTGAACATGGCACAGGATGTCCAAAAGAAACAACATCTCTGTGGGTCATGATGCCTGCAAAGCTTTATCAACCATCACGGCCGCGTACTGTAAGTTCAAACGATATTATATATATATACACAGTATGTTTTGCAAATCACCTCATGGATTCAACAGCTCCGGCAATCTAGAACACTGTGGTGGAACGGAGGAAACTCTCATTCCCATCACATATGCCCGTCAGATACCCAGGCGGATTCGGCCATTTTCCCCCTGCAAGTTCTAACCCCAACTTGCACCCTGTCTTTGGCAAACTGGCCTTTAGCCAGTTGTGCAAGCTAAGCTTCCCCAAGTACAAAGCATTTGAGAACTCAAAGAAAGCATTCTCTGAGGGCTGCTTCTGGCAACTCGCTTCAATGATCCTTGCGTGGACTATTGCTGACTGTTACCTATTCAACGCATCCAGGCTTCACAAAGCGCAGCTGCACGGGAGTCATCCTGGCACGTTTGATGGGCGCTCAAAAGAGAAACACGGACTGGCACACACTGAGACCCCACATGACGTAGATTCCCACGATACTCTTCAGCGGCTACAACATGGCTTGAGAATGCTCGGGCGGTTCAAATCTAGAATTGATCAAAAGATTCTGGCAGCAACTGTTTGGACTTACTCAATCTAATCCAACACACGGTTTGGATCAATGGATCATGGCTCGAATGAGGTTCGAGTGGACTAAGCGCCCAACAGTTACTTTCTTCGAGTGATGCCCACCCTGAAACACTATTCTGACATAGTTTCTGACATACTATCTGGAAGTATATATGGCATATTATGTGTTCTGGCATTCTATCTGGCATTCCTTCTGCCGTTCTCTCTGGTGTCTGGCTGAGGTCCGGCAGTGTCCCCGGGACAACCTGTGATAAAATCTAGAGACCCTCACCTGGCAGGTGGGGAAAAACATACCGATAACGCCGATAACTCATTCCTGTTTCTGCACTCTATATACCTGGTTGCTGTAATATACTGTACAACGGCGGTGCAGCGACTATTTGCACCACAGGCTGTGGTCCTGTCCTTCCTACTGTGAAACATCGTGAAACCAATGAAGCTGTAGGTGCAGAAATGGCATCCATAACATCCAGGCATAGGACGCGGCCCCAGGATGCCCTACGATAGATCCACAGCCTCCGCCAGACGTTGAAGCAGTCCTGACTGACAAATCAGAAGTTGCAGATTGCAGGGGATATCCGAAAGGAATAGGAGCACAACACAGCAACATAATCTAATTACGCATGTATGGGCTACATGTACTGTACGGAATCCCGACAAACATGACAAAACCAGATCCAAGAAGCAATGTCAAGTCCCACTCATGCCCAGGACTCACTACAGTTGACAAGCGAAGCAGGTTTAGCATCAATGGGCAGGTCCTTCGCGTGGGTCGAGGCGTTTTTCTCCACCAGCGCAGTGCCTGGTCAACAAGCCATGGTCAAAACAAGGTTCGCATGTTGCAGATTGAAACTTGCAGAAGTGCGCAATCATCCCACAATATCCCACATACTTGTGCCACTCAATGTTTGGGCACTGCAAATTTGCCAGAGCCTGAAGAGGGCAATGCCAAGGATTTTGTTGCTGGACCGGTTGGCTTCAATTGTTTAGATCCCCGTTTGGGCGAGTTTGCAGTTGCACTTGCTGCTCCATTTATGGTGTATTACATAATAGTCTATTATACTTCCTCTCACTTATTCTGCCAAACTTCTTGGCATGAACTTGTGCAAATACATTCATGATATCACATATATACACTCGTACAATATCGTACAATAGACAATAAATTATTAAACGGATGTGTATTTATGTGATTTTATGTGTATTTCATGGTATGAAGAAATAAATTAAATAAATCATATGCTTTCATGAAAGTGAGCTGGCAAAGGCATGGGCGGCATGGGCATTCCTTTCCGTCTGAGTTCTTCCAGGATCACCTTGATCAAAGATGATCAAAACCATGCAAGATACTGCGTCTACAGACTGAGACCGACTGAGACCCTTTGACAATTTGAATCCTGAGAAGATGATGAAGATGTGTGTGTCTGTGTGTGCAGTGTGTGCAGTGAAAAGCATGGGTTTCTTCGGCTCAGAACCAGCCTGTCTTGAAGCAGTGGCATCAACCTGGCAGAGCGGGATGTGTTCGGTCGAGCGAAATTCGTTGCATGGATCTCTTGTCTGTGGATCTGGTCCAGAACTTGGCCAACCATGATCAATTGAATTGCTCACACTACAATAGTCAATAGTCACGACAAACATCGGCTAATACATATTTCAACATGTTAGCAGTTGTAGCTCTGCCCAGATTTCAAGTCCAATTGTAGCTCTGCCTGAGCAAATGGTTGACTAATGCTGACTGAGACGTCTTACGGAAGACGCAGTGTCACTACGTGTCACCAGAATACGATGTACAAATTATATAACAGAAACAACTTCGACCTTTGACAAGCTGAAGTCATGACTAGTCATGACCTATTGTTTTTGAAAGGCCGTCTTGCCTTGCCCATTCTTTTTCAGTTCTGTGCCACGCCTGGGCCATGCCTCGACACTGGCCTGGCCAAAATCTGGTGCATCATGCAGTCCACAGTATACCCCAAAGAGCCAAGTGAATCGGCGCAAGAAGTCTACGAGAGCACTACTCACAGAAAGAGGAGAAGAACGCAGTTTCATTTCCTTCTGTAATTGAACCTGCCCCCAAAAACTTCAACAGGACAGGACAGACATTGAGAAACATAGGTGACACTTTCAACGCTTCTTGTTCTGCACAGCTCATCAAGTGCAACAAGTAGTAACAAGTAGTAACAAGGTCTCTGCAACACTGATCCGACTGATCAAGAACGCCCACCTTGGGCAAAGCTTCTGAAAGCGCCAAGAGCAGCCGCAGGGCGGCGTTGCGCACTGGGATGCCATGAATGTCACCTGGTCTGTTCTGATTTGGGCGATCGTCTCGCTTCCATTTATAGCTATATAATGCAGTACTTTTCATATCTTTTCATCAGGTGTGCAACAAGATATAACAAGTGAAATCACGACTTGTTGCAGTGGAAACCAGTTGAAGTTTCTGTATTTCAATGATCCTCCGTTAATTCCACCTATTCATTGCACCATTTGCTCTGACATTACCAACTTGGCTCCAGACCTTTGGGCGTCTCGCCCGCAAAGTCAAACCAAAGGTCCAAGCCTTTTGGGAGGGACAAAGCGACCCAACCGCTGGTGTATTTCAAACAGCTGTCGCTGCAAGTGCAAAGGTGGCGGTTCTCCTGTAATTTCTATGCCAGCAGGTGCTTTGGTATCTAAATGTCTTTAGGATTGTTATGTGAGTGAGTGGTGACGTAGTGCTAGATTTTGGATTTCCTTTCAAAAAACCTAGACTTGTGCCCTACAGACAATCAAGTGAGGCCTTCCTTGAGCATATCATCTCAACACGAACTTCAACGCGAAGGTTTCGATGCTAGAAAAGATTGCGTCAACCGGTCTCCGCGCCTGCACCCAAGGGTGCAGATAAGTGTCGCCTGACAGCAGATCAAGATGAAGAGACTAGTTAGAGGAATCGGATGATTGTTCGTTTCGGATCCAAATCCAACTGTGCTGTACGTGGAACACAATTTCAACCTTAAGCATGCAAAGTTGCTAGGGTTGACGAGCTATGAAAGCGCTTCCAAACATCTTGAGGTATTTGATGGTATTGTATCTTCAAGACGTCAAAGATGACATCGTTTCCTTGGCTCACCTTGGGACATCATTAACATCACAAGCAAATACGAACAAGATCGGGCTCCATAGGATCCTGTGCAAATCTTCCAACGTGATCAGAAGTTCACCTATACGCTCATTTATATTGTCCCTATGATTAGGAATCGTTCCTTTGCCTTCTCAGAACTTTTACTCCTTGACATTTGTAATGCCACACCAATCAGCTCATAACATCAGGTGTATGGATTGGAAAGCTAAGAAGTGTCTACATTGGTCTATGAGTCTACTCGGGCCTTGTGCCAGAATCTCCTGAAGCTGCCCCAGTCAGAATAGCTGCACTCCTGGTGGCCAAGTGAACAGAATTAATTGACCAAAGCAACACCATGATTCTGATTCGACGGGATAGCACATTTACACAAATGCATACTGTATGCATACTACTTTTTTACAAACGAATCCTACAGTTTCAATGCAGTTTCTTCGAGTCAACCAGGGTCCCTCCTTGAGCACAAGCGCAAGGAACTGATGAAATTCATGGCCGCCTGAGTGAAGATCACAACTTGCTCGGAAAAACTCCTCACACACTTGCTGCGTGTGATTCATAGCTACAACTCATTAGAGTAGCATCACCTGCAACTGCTCCTTCGGAAATAAATCTACTTAGGTTTGGAGGACTTCAGCAGTGATTTGATGCTGCGAATATCTTGCAAGCAGTTTTGAATATTCCCCTCTCGGCCGTCGCATTGTTTTCTCTATTTCATAAGGAGATGTCCAGCGAACAAAATCTCCATGGACCTGTTGGAATCTGCCAGGGCACCACAAGCCGCTTGCTCTTCCAGCGAACAGGCAGAGTTGTGGTCTTGGACAAACTACGAATGGCCTAACAAAAAGCAGTGAGACTGTGAGGGCTGTGACATCTGGGCTTTTAGCTTCAAATTGCTGCATGCTCCAAACTGTTTTGATTTGACTGTTGGATGCAAATGAGGATGGTACCTCCATCAACTGACCCAAGTAGCGAAACAGCAAGGGCTTGCCAGCCTCAGCAAGACCAGAATGACCCAACGATGGAGGGTATTACTTATACATTCTCTACAGATGCTCTCAGATTTTCATCATACAGTACAGCATTGTTATGTATTGTTGATATGATTGGAACTGATTTGATAAGGGTATTGCTGCTTCATTGAGCTTGCTACTTCGATCTACATGCTGATCTGAATGGCACTAGCACCAGGATCCACCACCAGAATACACACTTCGCCTGCCCCGTGTGGCATTGCCAACTTGCCAGGTAGCAAGGACATCGCTACAAAGGCAAAGAATGTCCATCACCTGCGAAATTCATGATAGGACGTGTCATGACAAAACTATGCTGTCCAGGATGCTTTTTGCTTTGAATCCGCTCAGAATTCACAAAAGCTACTGGCAATTGTGATCAATTTCGTGCAATCAGGAGTTCTACTCCTGACATTGCAGCTGCTATCAGCAAGTATCAGCCACTGTTGGCCACTATATGGCCAGTATCAGCTACCCCAAAGCTCCAGGTCCATTTTTGCCGAGTCGCGCAGCAAAAGGCAGCACTTGCAAGCTGTCTCTTTGTACTCAGTCGCATCAACCAACTGAGGAGTTCCTTAGAGACATGGTTTCGAAGCAACAAATCTGGATGGGTGTTGTGAACCTCCACAGTCCAATACTGAACAGTGGCGGATAGATTTCAACTATTTATTCTCTCATATTCTCTCTATTTTTCACGGCAACCGACCCCGTGTGACTTTGAATTGCAAAAGATGCAACATGACAAATCGAAAAGACAAGAGACCCAAAAGATCCTAAAAGAGCCCTAAAAGTGGCAAGCCGAGTGTGGCCTAGTATCGGACTGGAAGAGTTCTTCCTGGCGCATGAGCCGTCTGAATGTCAATCTCTGGCAGCATCTAAGCATTTGGTCATGGTTGTTGATGTTATTGTACATGTAACTTGTGACAATGGATATGGAAAGAAACGTACTGGCGGACACACAAAATCAACACACATGATCTTAATGGAGCATCCCAGGGTTTTCCCTGATTCTGAACACACCCACATATCTCATCGTGATTCATCGATTCATCGTGCAAGTCAGTCGATCTGGCCACCATTTTTTGCCATGGCTGGTCGTTGGCCCTGCACCTGCAGCTGTCCACTGAGGTGGAAGAGCTGCTCCAGGAATTCCAAACACACGGCCTGGAGGGGTCGAACGATTCGCACAGGAAACTTCCCGGAGCTTCCCATCAGAATTATTTTGATCTCACTTTATGAAAGAGTCCACACATGTCGACACTCACCTCAGACAATACAGACTTTCTTAAGCCAATCCTCACAGAGACAGAATTTCTTTTCAGTTTTCAAACGGTTGGTTTGAATCCAGAGTAACGTGCTCAGTACTCTGCTTCCCGCAGGACTCCATGCAAGTCTAGTAGCCTGGTCTCTATCCGCAGAAGATCTCAAGGCAAGAAGCCTCACAGATTGAAAGTCAGACCGTGCTGGAGTGCTGGACTACCAGAAATACATTTTTTTAACATTCTACTTAGATTCTACTTGCAGCTTTCTCTAGCACCCCTCAAATAAGAAACAAATCTAAGCAGAACTTGACCTCCTGAGGAGGACTTTGCGAGTGCATCTTGTCTTTGCTGAATATACTAAATACCAGTACCTGTTAAGCTGTCCTCCAGTCGAAGAATCATGAAGAACCATAATTCTATCTGGGGTGAAATGTGGATTTCATGAGGATGGAAATGGCGGATGTCAATGTGAATTCATCGAATCCATTAAGGCACATCCACTATGCCACCCTTGTTTGCAGTCAAGGAGCACTGAGGTTAGCAAGCCTTCAGCACGTGCTCCTCAGTGCAGGGCTGCTTCCAAACAATCCTGGTCACTGGTGTGTTAGTGAGAAACCAAAAAAATATGATTCACAAGACAATTGTATGTACCGACATGTTTTTTGAGCGTGGATGAAACAAATATCAAGTGTGTGCATATGGAGGGTATCTTTCTTTAGCTATTTCATGCGAGTCGTTTTTGAGAAACATTTTATTGTGGACTCAAAGCCAACAGTCCAAGCCATGTCAAACCTGTCAGAAGCCTCAAGCCAAACTCAGCCAACTGCAGCAACCCATGTAGAGCAATCCCATGCAATCCCGCACAGATCAAAGAAGATGTTTACAGGAAGAGGACAATGTCATCCCTCTGCGTCCCTTTGGTGCAATCCCCACTGTAAAATATGTAAACGCAACATTTAGAAATCTATCCCGTAGTCATCCCTTTGATGTTCCGCCCAATGTGAACGCCACAAATCTTGATCGTTTTCTAGCACCAAATTTTGGCAATATGCCTGGATAATGTTGCATTTAGGTTGCGTTTGAATGGTCATGAATGGTCCAAAGTGTTTGCACATCAGGAAATTGGATATGCAGTTTCCAATGTAAACGCAGGATTTTCCCAACAACGATTCTGTTGGGTTTCAATCTTTTGGGCACAGCGTGGTGTCAGGAAGAATGCAAACTTGGAATCTTGGAACCAAGTCCTGGAATCTTGGAATCCTGGAATCCTTGTATGCAGTCAAGTGTCCTTCAAGAGCATCTTCGGAGGAGATGAGCATAGCAAAGAAGACCCGCATTACCCAAATCAGCTGTTGGTGCCTTGCACAAGACAAGTGAACTCGCACTCTCTCACTGTCAGAACCTAAGTCGATTATAGTAGATTGGTATGTTGAACCATCGGGCTTGGCATCTTGAATGGTCTGCCTCTTCATCCTGCCTGTGGAACATTACTGCGCCTTTGGTGAGGTCCAACAAATCACCAAGCGTCAGTGGAATTGGATTCTCTCAAAAGAAATTCCAAACGTCTCCAAACAGAGTCTTGTCAAAACCGCAATGTCATGGATAGTTTATTGTCCTCCTCGTTTGTATGAGTTTTTCATAGTTTTTCTGTAGCAGCACACAGGTTGAAGTTTCAACTTTACTTTTAGCGCTGATCAGGTTGTCTTCAGGATTGCTTCCTCTACTCCCAATAACCTGCACCCACGACAGAGGAAGCATAACATACACAGAGACAACCAAATATCGATCTTTCTCTCGATATTATTATTACTGTTACTATTACTGTATCAATATCATGATTATAAAAAAACAAAAATACCAGTAGTACCGCGCAAGGTGGTGGAAGTTTCAAAGAGTGGAAATCTATAGGAGAGGTGAGTTGTCGTGGGGTCAGAAGTTTGACTTCTAAACTACTTCAGTTTCCCATCAGAAAACACTTGCCCATCATTTCCCGCCACAAATCGAGGCATCTTTCACCGGTGTTGCTGCCTGCGTTGCTCCGACAATTGCTGCAGAAGGGCGCTGAGCTCAGGCAACTGTTTCGCGGCAGAAAATGCAGCCTGGGTAGTGTTCATGCAAACAGGGCAGAACATGATCTCTTCAACTCGCAAACATCCGGAAACACAAACCATACAATGCCATACAACAACCTTGCTGCATGCCATTTCTCGGAAAAAACAACGGGCCAAAATCATCCAAAATCTGAAAGGTGAGGTCTTCAAGCGGCTTGTGATGAGGAGGCAAAGAGGTTGGCTGCAGCAGCACATTCAGCCAAACCAATTCCGGCTCCAGCATCATGACCACCTGAGACATGCGTCAAGAAGTTTTCTACAGGTCTCTGGTATTTACTTGCAGGTACTTGCAATGCATTTACCTCTGATCTTTGCGGGCCTTCTAGATACCCTGAAGAAACCCGGTCCGACTATGGTAAAGGGAGAGCCACAGCGTGATTCTATTCATTTGGATCACGCTTTCCTACATCAACAGGTTTTTTAAAATGTTTTTTTTCATATGCAAAAGACATAAAACATATTAAAACATCATATACCACATTGACAACAACAAAGCGGTTCCCTATAACTTTGACCGCTTGAACTTTCCAGGCACTTTCTCCATGAAAAATCAGTGTTGGCGACAGGGGGGGTCGAAATTTTTGAGGGCTGCGTAGCGCTGCGTAGCGCTTGAAAAATCAATGTTTGCAAATAGGATCAAAACCTTCACCGGCACACATTCCATCAAGTCTGATCAAACGTAAGTAATTACTTTTCGGGTATTTGCAAGTACGTAACCTTGCACAATCTCCACGGGACTCACATGACTTCTACATTCGACACATTAGACTTCGTTGCAAGTGCACACCAAACACACCGAGAAGCTCAAAACACGCAGCAGGTGTTGCGAGGCTCGCGTGCCCAGCGTGGCCAACGCGGCAGAATCGCCGGTCTCTGAGACTTCCTGCGAGAACAACAAGCTTCCCACACTGGCAGCTCACCGAGGCAAGCACATTTACTGAAATCGATTGACAATAACTTATAGTTATACATGATTTGAACATATGAAGTCCATGCTCCCAAAACTTCTGAAGACTCTGAAGTAGATAGAGCTAGGACTGATTAGGACTGGATGGATATTCGTCTGGTCATCTAGAGCAATGATGCCGGAAACAAGACTCTTGGATACTTCCTGCAACTCAGAAACCGTCTGTGGTCTGTAGCTACTTTGTAGGCTGCTAGAGGCTGCTTAACGTCTGCATCGGTCTGCCCGGGCCTTCATGCGAATGGCAGCCCACGACACAAGTGCAGCAGTTGCCAGCTGCTGCGTTTCCATCGGCATGTCCGCCTCATGAATGTGCATAGAACTTATTGCAAAGCAATGTCCTCCCATGTCTCCTCACCATGCTCTTGAAGCACCTGTTGTCACTGAGTCTAATGGGTACATTCAAATACAGAATCGTAGTGACATAATGTGACATACAGCTTAGGACATAGTTTGTCTATCTCCCTCTCTTCGAAATCAGTTGTGAATTGAATTTCAGCTTTGCTGAGACGATGAGATTGCGATTGCGGACTTTTCGTAACATTTTCACCTCGGTGGCCTGAAGCGCTTCGCCCAAAGCCACAGTCACTTGCCAAGAGAAGAGGAAGTCACTGTCCTGCAATGTAAAAACATGTAAAAACCATGGTTTGTGTGACCGAGATTGATTTACCATGATTTACCGTTCAACACGGTTCCATGATGTCCATGGATTTGGATTCGGCAGCTCCCGTTATTCCCAGTTGCCGTGAGCCCCAGCTCCTCAATCGGCAGCTCCATGAATCTCAAAAGTGCAGCCAAATGGAGCCGAAGGAGGTTTGCCACGCGAAGCAGGCCGTGACCTGTTGCATTGGTCCCAATGTCTTTGCAGAATTATATACTTAGATTTCTGAGATTTAATTGAGATAATATATTAAAATCATTTTGCATTTGATTAGTCTAATAAATAGTCCATCGAAACCATCCCCAGCCCACCATGCTAACATCGTCAAATCTAGAGGAAAAAACCAGCAACAAAAATTCACCTGATGGTCAACCATCGAACCTACGCCGCATGCCTATCTACCTCAATTGTGAACTAGCTGCTGCTGCTAGTCCCAAAATCAAAAGGTAGCACAACTGTGGCACAACTTGCCTCCGACTTGTTTCTGTACAGCAACGCCCAGGCTCTGCAGGGTCCACTGCCACTGTTGCAACAAAGCAGTGCTTTTCGACAGCCACAGCAGCAGCTGGGAATCTTCTCCAGTCCCTTGCACCGGGAACAGCCTAAGGACCTTGCCTGGGTGCGGTTCACCTGGATATATTGCATGGGCAAACGAGAAATGACTCAAGCCATCTCAAGCCTTTCAAAAAAGGCGGCTGCAAAAGAAGAGAAAAGAACATGGATCTGATATGATCTGATCTGCTTCAAGCCTCTTCCCCAAATCCGAAGAACAATCACGAAATGATAGTACGGGGTGAATCAAACACTCAAAGCCTTTGCGGACAATGACCACCCTTGGAGATCAGTGAGCCTTGTATCACTAAAAGAACCACATCCGTCTTGACCGTCAACACATCCAACTCGCCCAACTCGTCGTTGCCCTCTTCAACCTCATTCCACAGCCCCACAGCGGCATTTTGAAGCTACCAGCCCAGGGCATTGGATGGACCAGCTATGACCAGCTTCTGTTTTGCATAGGACCTGAATCTGTCACAACAGAAACCTGAACAAACTTTGGAGCTCGTTGCGAATGCTGCGGCTGTGAAGACAGGGCAGTCTCCGCACTGATGCAAGGTAGTAGCTCTGCTGTGGAATCTCTGGTCAGCGCAACTCCGAACAAATCCGGGCTTTGTGGGAACAAAGTTCATACATGGGAAACATATTATGGAGATATTATGGAGATTTATGGAGGTATTATGGAGACACATAGATCAGACATGACCACATTGACTTGAGGCGGCTCAACAAACTGCTGTTCCTGCCAGTCCCGTGCGCTCAGGCAGCAACAGTGAGGTCTTCGCAAGCTGAGACTACTGACGTCCACAGACCAGCCTCCCATGTGTCGCATCGCAAACAAAACGAACCTGGATGAACCTGGAATATGCCCAATTAGCGCCCAAATATGGCCAATCCCAACATATCCCAACCATTTCATTTCTCCTGGTTTCTGGGCCTTGAAGCTTGTGGAGATATGTGGAGATGACAGCTGAGTACCAGACATTACCAGACTATATTTTTACACAGTTTCTGTGGAGAGAGAGACCAACCATGACCAACCTATGTCATGAATCCATCAACTCAGAGTGTTCTCTCTGTTGAGGTGTAATCAGTGTAATCTATTCAGACATCCATCATCCAGTAGTCTTTTGCGTTCCTTCAAACACATTCCATGGGGGATGTGATCAAAAGTCTAGGGCTAATGATCTACAAATCCCAACAAACCTTGAAGATCACAGGTGCTGCATCCGTAAAGTTGGCTGCCAGTAAAGCGCTTAAAAGCCGCAAGAGGCTGCGTCGTAGACCTGAGTTGGTAATTACGGGATTTTGGTGGCACGTTATGTTTGTATAAGATGAATAATTATATATTATATATTATATAATTATATGAATTGAACTCGATTAACTTTGTCGCTGACCAAACGATGTCTATAAATGTACACTTTGACATTGCTAAGATGCCAATATGAATAGCACGTGATATGGCATCAAAACAACATTCATAGTAGACCAACATTGAGAAGGTGGCGACAGATTTGGTCGCTCAAACATTCAAACGCCAAAATTCGACACTCTGCTCCTGTTGGGAAAGTCTTGGGCCTGCAACATGCAGTTCTACACACCAAATCAAATAAAGTATATACCCCTTTCAAACAATGGAACCACCTGGAACCACCAATGGCAACAAATTGCATGCACATACTTCAGTTCTGTCCACAGCCAAGTGTGAAAATCATTAATCAGCCACTGAATCATATCAATTTCAAATCCTATCAGGTTCAGTCACATTCATTGTTTATGCATGGTATATCATGGTATATCATGGTATACCATACACATCCATACACCATATAGTGATATATAGTGTAGAATCACATCTCGTATAGCCACGTCATGTCACGTCATATCATCCACCTGCTAGCGCTGCTCCAGTTGTGTTGCCAAGCTGCCAAGGTGTGAAGCCTTGAAGCTTTTGGCCATGCTGACCAGGATCCTGGGTGGTTAAAGCAGTGGCTCATGGTATGTGGTACACATTTGCGGCACTTGCGGTTTCAACAGAACTTGGGCAAACAGGTTTCCAACATCATAAATTGCCAGATTACCAAACTGATCTAACTGCATACTGTCAAAATGCTGTGCACCAGCAGCACAAGCATGGATTTCCTCCTGTCACAAATCAAGATGCAGGTGCAAGAAACCCAGATTCCAGGATTTGCTTGGCATTCTCCACTCCGGCCTGTGTGGAGAATTTGCACTGAGTTCAACTTTTCACAGAATAGGGTTTCGAACAGTCAAAGTTCTCTATTTTGATATTTGGATATACTTGGCGTTTCAACATGGCAGTAGCATCTCTGCACTTTATCATCAGGTACCAAATCTGATCAGACCATGCTGTCAATTTTTCGAAGATGTTGCAGCCTCCACACTCCAGCGCAACACTTCCACAGCTTCAGCTGCTCGTGCAAAGGTGTCTATTGACAGCAGCTCCTGGATCTATTCAAAAGTCTCTTTGGTCAGTGCAATTTCTTCATGAGACAAGTCGTCAAATTGTCAATCTGTTAACACTCACTCACTGTCACTCATTTTGGTTGAGAAATTACAATGCGTTTGTTCTGTTGGCCAGTCAGTCAGTGGAAACATGCAGAAACTGCTTGACATTGCTTGACAAAATTTGACCAACATCAAATTCACCTGACAACCCACAAGTGCCTCTCGCGACCAGGCACGTAGCGCACGCAAAGCTCGTTGAACCGCAGCACGTCGTTGTAGCTGAAGTGCCTCGCATGCAGCATTGCGGTTGTATTGTGCTTTCCAAACGCAATTGGATCAGCACTTGTTCAACAAAGAACTAAGACCCTGAGACATTGGGAGGACATGGGAGGACAAATCTCACCAATTGGGAAGGCTCATCTAACCAACATCCTCTTTCTAAGCCTCACTGCTTCACATTAGTTAAGTCGACCGCATTGAATTCACGCACCGCTACAAGCCCGAACCATAATCTGAATGTATTGACCCAACACTTCTCATGAACAAATAGGGCAGCGGGGGCAGTGGAAGCACGCCGTTGAGTGGCTTTTGAATTAGGAAGTGAAGAAAACGGTCAACCCAACATGATTCACCGACACCTCTTGATCATCTTCATCTCTGCAGAAAAGCAGACCTCGACACACAGCCAGTGGAAGCATCAATTAAACTATATAAATCTCAAGAAAACTGGATGAAGGTAAGCCAAACCAACTGAGCATTTGCCACGGCCAGTCAACTTATGTGACTGACAGTGCAAGGGGCTACTTGGATCATATTTGGCATGATCCGACCACATAGTTGCAATGTCTAGTTCACCTGCCTACCTGCAATTCACAGCTGTCAGGGCTGCGATCCACTACTCATGTAGCACAAGTATGCACTTGCTGCCACTATGAAACAAAAACCCGAAATGGGTTTCAAATGCTTACAGCCGAATGACTCGACAAACTTGGCCGTTGAATGCCAGTGAGCCCTTTTGCACCCACCAAGCAAACCCACTTCAAATTTCAGGCAAGAAAATGCAGTTGTTGGCAGCATCATACGGAATGATTTTTCTGCTCTGACAAGGGGAGCATCATCACCGAGCATTCCCAGGAGTCTGGACTAGCCCAGACACATCGCAAGCACCGCCATGCGGCGGCCGAGACCACAGCATCCACGTGCTGTAGGAACGGAGTGACCTCGAGCACGTGACCGCTTTGAAATTTGCAAAGAAAACCGTGACTTTGCCCTCTTTCTTGTCCGGTTCAATACAGCCATGACTGGCGCATGATCATTACTGAACATGATTGCTTGTTAAATGCCAAAATCAGGGAATGCAAGGTCTCGAGTCTCGACATACCTTACTATCCACATCAGCGGAGGTCGGAGAGAAAATTCACCACAAAAGGGAAACAAACCTCTACAGAGAGCCCAATACACCACAAAAAGGAGTAATGCTGCTACCCAAGCAGCATATGCTACAGCTTCCGCTGGGGCAAATTCGGCAGACAGCCACAGCCTGTTGCGGAATGGCTCTTACAACATAGATTGGCGGCATATGGTGCTGAAACAACAGTTCTGTCTAATTCTGTCTAGTTTTTTCCTCGGTTGGAGGATGGAGGCGGATCGGCATAATCTTACCATGTCTGATCATGGCACTGGCTCTTGTCATACGGCCAGGTCTTTGTGAGAACTTGAAAAGATGATTAATTACTCGTTTTGAAACTTTGCAAATTCAACGGATGATACTGATGTTTATATATGTTTATCATGACCACGATCATAGATGACGGCAACAGGACGATGGGCATTGCATAATCTACATAAGACATCAAAAGACATCATAAAACATCAAAAAACATCATGATTCATGATGATGATAATGATGATGATGGTGCTCTCATCATCGCCGAGGCCCAACACGACGCTTTTGGTACGGGACGTGACCAAATTTGCCCAGCAACGCGCAGTGGATCTCGGTGGAGTGGTAGCGCGTCGTGTTGGATCGAGCGGAGAGGCGCTCCAGCAATACCTCCACGGCGAAGCCATGGACCGAGGTGTTTACCGGTGATTACAACTCATTACCACGTCAAGGCTACGTAAACTGAAAGGAAAAGGACATAGAAGGACAAAGGTATAGAATGGTAAAGGATAATCGAAGGAAGTTTAGAAGTCAAACTTCCGACAATATGGACAGATGAAAAGCAGAGCAGGGCAGAGGCAGAGAGAAGGGAAAAGATTAGAAGAGAGAAGAGTAGAAGAGAAAGAGTCAGAAGAAAGAAGATGCAGATGCGCGAGGAGGTAGGAAAGTCGCGAAACACGGTGTTTTTCCAATGATTTTTGGCTCTGGAGGGTCGAAAAGTAGGCCGTAAAGATGCATTTTCCGTGGCAGGCGCAGTACAAGAGACATGTTCATCAGAGATGTTAGGAGGTCCGGGCACTGATTTCCTGAGAGGGGTTGCATTTTGCAGCATCAAATCTTCAGTTTTGGGAAGATGATTTTGTGTGACAGGTGCAGCACTTCGTATGGCCTGGCCTCTCTTTTTCGTGGCAGCACATGGACTGGAAAAATCGCAAACAAGCATTGGCACAAGGCCGTCAGCTCTGCACTCAACTGTCCAAATTTGAAGGAGGTCTCGCAGAATTGCTTCGTTTTTGATGTTGCCAACTTCAAAAATTGAGGAGGTCTCGCAGAAGTGCTTCGTTTTTGACGTTATCAAGTTACGTCTCGCAGAATTGCTTCGTTTTTCATGTTTGTCACCTTCGAAAATGGAGGAAGCCTTGCAGAATAGCTTCGTTTTCAAACTTGCAGATAGATAGATCGATACATAGATGGATGGATGGATGGACAGATAGAGAGAAATATAGTTAGATAGATAGATGGACAACTACCACTACAGCTACAAATACAAATATTCTACGCTACAGTACACTAATTGCACTACACCATACTACAGCTATAACTGTAACTACAACTGCTATAACGACTACAGCTACAGCTACAACTACAACTACACTACATTACACTACACTAATTACACTACACTACGCTCATTACATTACATTACACTACACTACACTAACTCTAAACTACACTACACTACAGCTACAACTACAACTACAAAGACAAACTACAACTACAACTACGACTACAGCCACACGACACTACAGTTACAACTGCAACTACAACTGCAACTACAACTGCAACTACAGCTACAGCCACAACAACATTACACTACACCACACTAATTACTCTACACTACACTACAGTAAACTACACTTTGCTACACTAAATACAGCTGCAACTACAACTACACCACTTTACACTACACTAGACTAATCCACGCTAGTCTACACTAAAGCACACAACACTCCAGCACACCACACTACACTACATTGCATTACACTACACTCATTACACCACACCACCTATCTATCTGTCTGTGTGTCTATCTATCTCCCTATCTATCTACCTACCTATCTAGCTGTCTAGTTTTCTAGCTATTTGCCTATCTATCTCCCTATCTATCTATCTATCTATCTGTCTAGCCATCTATCTATCTATCTATCTGTCTAGCCATCTATCTATCTATCTATCTATCTGTCTGTCTAGCCATCTATCTATCTATCTATCTACCTACCAATCTATCTATCTATCTGTCTAGCCATCTATCTATCTTTCTATCTATCTATCTATCTATCTATCTATCTAATCTATCTATCTTTTTATTTAGCTGTCTTTCTATCTATTTGTCTGTCTGTCTATCTGTCCACCTATCGATCTATCTATCTATCTGTCTGTCTATCTATCTATCGATCCATCTATCGATCCATCTATCTATCTATCTATCTATCTATCTATCTAGTAGTGGAGTGTAATGGAGTGTAGTGGAGTGTAATTTAGTGTAGTGGAGTGTAGTGGAGTGTAGTTGTGTAGTTGTAGTTGTAGTGTTGTGGAGTGTAGTGTAGTGTAGTGAAGTGTAGTGGAAGGTAGTGTAGTGTAGTGTAATGTAGTGTAGTGTAGTGCAGTGTAGTGTAATGTAATGTAGTGTAGTGTAATGTAGTGTAGTGTAATGTAGTGTAGTGGAAGGTAGCGTAGTGTAGTGTAATGTAGTGTAGTGTAGTGGAGTGTAGTGTAATGTAGTGTAGTGTAATTGAATGTAATTGAATGTAATATAATGTAATTGTGTGTAATTGAGTGTAGTGTATTGGAGTGTAGTGTGGTGTAGTGGTGGTTGTAGATGAAAATGCTACAAAACCCTCACGTTTTGCTCAATCCCTTGCGCCTGCCACGCGAAGCGACATCTGAACCTCCAAAAGTGGTCCGAGGACCTGGTGTGTTTTGTACATTTTGACTTCGAAATGTGCTTCGCGCCACAACGGCGTGCACTTTTTCGACATCTCAACTTCCAAAAGTGGTCCGCACCTGGTTCGTTTTCTACATTTGGGCTTCGAAATTTGCTTCGCGCCACAACGGCGTGCACTTTTTCTACATCTCAACTTCCAAAAGTGGTCCCAACCTGGTGTGTTTTGTACATTTGGACTTGGAAATCTGCTTCGCGCCACAACGGCGTGCAATTTTTCATCTCTCATCTGGCCAACTGGCTCCGCACCCGCCGCTTTAGCGAGCCTACTTTTCGACCCTCCGGAGACACAAATGATTGGAAAAACACCGTGTTTCGCGACTTTCCTACCTTTTCGCGCATCTGCATCTTCTTTCTTCTGACTCTTTCTCTTCTACTCTTCTCTCTTCTAATCTTTTCCCTTCTCTCTGCCTCTGCCCTGCTCTGCTTTTCATCTGTCCATATTGTCGGAAGTTTGACTTCTGAACTTCCTTCGACAACTGAAACTACACTACACTAATTACACTGCACTACAACTACAGCTCCACTACACTACAACTACGTACAACTACAGCTGCACTACACCACACTACATCCAGCAGTTGTGGGGGAGGTGACCACTGCAACCATTGCCACCACTCCAAAAAACACAACTCCAACCACCTTTCGGTCCATCAGTGGATTCGCTCTGTCATTCGTGATTCACAACAACCAACCTCTCCTATAGGTTTCCGATTTCTGAAACTTCCGCCACCGCCTTGTGCGGTACTACTGGTAAAGCTTCATTTACATTTCGTGATGTGTCTACCAATAGAATCCATTGAAATAGCGGAGTTTCACAGCTGCAAAGTTGATCCAATTTGAACATGAGGCGCAGCACGTCTAGCTGTCACAGGCAGTACTGTACAATTATTTCCTGCCAAAGTCGCAAACCATGGAACACGAATAAACAATCTGTACAAGTCGGAATCGTGTTGTACTATTAATATCTACTAATCTGGATGATTTCTCTGTACAACATGCATCTGTGCGAAGTTGAAGGCTCCCAACAGCCTTCTGGGGAGAGCCTCCATGAATCTATCCAGGAATCAAGAACAAGAACGACCAAGGAGACACGTGCTGTCCAGGGGTGGGAGCTTGCACGGTCTACCAAACTTTGTCATGGCTGTTATGGCAATGTCTGTCCGTGTCTTTCCATGCCGGAAAAAAACCTAAAAGGGTGCTGTGACCTTCTTGGTAGGCCTGGGGAATGGCTTTCGGACACCGTTCTTGAACATTACTGGCTTGTACTCGTCAGGCACACTCTTATGCATCACTGGGCTGTTTCGATAGCGCTCAATATGGGCTTTGAATCCTTGATGGGGTCCACTCCAGCTTACTTCGCAAACCTTAGCAGTAGGCAATGCCCAATCCGAAAAGCCATGGAAAATCTTCCACAATTCATCAACAGCCTTGCCGTCCACCAGGTTCACGAAAGCATAGCCCAAATTTGCATCGCGGTAGAAATCACAGGGCAAGTATGCAAAGTCATATTTGCCCATCAGCCCATGGTCATCCAACATCTTCAAGAACATCTCCCGCGTGTAGTTGTTGGGCAAATTGCGCAACATCACAGTGGTCCGTTCTTTGCCTTTGCCAATCTGAGTTTCCTGAGCCTGCTGCTTGCCATTGCAAGGATGGACATCGGATACAGGTTGAAGTGGCTGAAGTGGCTGAAGTGGCTGGAAGTGAGGTGCCTGCATTGTTTGTGTTTGCTGATGAGTCTCCCGGAAGTTGGCTGGGCTAAGCTTTCCAGGCTCGTACACTTCCGGATCATTCATCAGGGCAAAGTCTGTCTTCGCCCGCCGGAGCTTCCGGTATGTCTGCATCAAGCTGTGCCCATCATCCATGTGAAGAAACGTGCTCCTCACGACCAGATGACCCGTGCACTCCTCACACAAGTCCGAGATCTCGTCGGAGCAATTGGCAATGTTGGAAGCATCGGTGGCCGCGTCAGTGCCCGCATCACCGAAACTGTCTGGAGGGCAGGGAATGATCACAATTGGCACATACATCATGATGGGCAGGGTTTTGGAGGCTTGATCCTCAGACTGTGCCACGTCCGGCCTCAGACCAAAATTATGTAGTGTTCTCACCACATGTTCAAACATGTTCAAGCGTTGGGGAACATGCCAAAACATCTTGAGTACTGTAGATCACACCTCATCTGATCACACTTATTAGCTACTGTGCAAACACTTGCCACTTTGCTCAGGGACTTGTTAACAGTCGCACTTAGAAGTGCCACCACATGTGTCTGAATTTTGCCGACTGGTGCACATAGATCACATAGTAAGCTCGAGGCTAGTTCCAAACATATTCCAAACATTGATGTTTAAAGAATCAACAACCCATGGCAATCCGGAAAATCATGGAAAATCTGAAGCTGTGCACTTCCTCCACATGCCCAATAGGATCAATAGGCTCCCAGCGCACCTCCCCAAAGTTGATGTGCACCTGTAGCGTAGCGATGCATGTGTCAGCGGCATTCCAGCAAGGCTCAGTGCAAAGTGAAACAATTGCCATTGTCAAATAATGTCAAATAAAATGATTCGGGCTTGAAGTAAACATTTATAAAAGCTGAGTCCGAATTAAATTGCACATCAGAAGTATTCGGAAGCTGCACACTTGTCAAGCTTGTTCTGAGTAAGTATGTTGTATTGCTGCCAGGGACGTACAACTAGCATAGCTGGGTGCCTTAAGTTGCACTTTCCATGCACAATTCACAGGCAAAAGTACCACAATGGTATCAATATGTCACTGATGTATGAGTGATTGGAATTTGCGGGAGGTGTCGGTTCCAGATGTTCTGGGCGCAATGCGTCTGTAGATTATTTCATGTCAATGGCACTGTCTTTCACTGAAGGTTGGCAAATTGGGTTCCACTGTTGGCCGCAGCTTGCCATGACAATGGGTGCTTCTGTGCAAATTTGATGCCAGCCGCGCATTGCTGTTGTTTTGTTTTGACCAGAGTGTCTGCTGTGAGGACTCATGGAACTTTGCTCCAGCATGTTCCGACTTTGCAACTGTACATGTCTGGACGTTGAGTGCAAAAACTTGGTACTTGGTCATGAAACCTGGTAGCCATTCAAGCAAACGTCAGCTTGCAACGGCTCATGACAAATGAGGGTCCTGTACAACATGCATCTGTACGAAGTTGAAGGCTCCCAACAGCCTTCTGAGGAGGCCTCCATGAATTTATCCAGGAATCAAGAACAAGAACGACCAAGGAGACACGTGCTGTCCAGGGGTAGGAGCTTGCACGGTCTACCAAACTATGTCATGGCTGTTATGGCAATATCTGTCCATGTCTTTCCATGCCGGAAAAAAACCTCAAAGGGTGCTTTGACCTTCTTGGTAGGCCTGGGGAATGGCTTTCGGACACCGTTCTTGAACATTACTGGCTTGTACTCGTCAGGCACACTCTTATGCATCACTGGGCTGTTTCGATAGCGCTCAATATGGGCTTTGAATCCTTGATGGGGTCCACTCCAGCTTACTTCGCAAACCTTAGCAGTAGGCAATGCCCAATCCGAAAAGCCATGGAAAATCTTCCACAATTCATCAACAGCCTTGCCGTCCACCAGGTTCACGAAAGCATAGCCCAAATTTGCATCGCGGTAGAAATCACAGGGCAAGTATGCAAAGTCATATTTGCCCATCAGCCCATGGTCATCCAACATCTTCAAGAACATCTCCCGCGTGTAGTTGTTGGGCAAATTGCGCAACATCACAGTGGTCCGTTCTTTGCCTTTGCCAATCTGAGTTTCCTGAGCCTGCTGCTTGCCATTGCAAGGATGGACATCGGATACAGGCTGAAGTGGCTGAAGTGGCTGAAGTGGTTGAAGTGGCTGAAGTGGCTGGAAGTGAGGTGCCTGCATTGTTTGTGTTTGCTGATGAGTCTCCTGGAAGTTGGCTGGGCTAAGCTTTCCAGGCTCGTACACTTCCGGATCATTCATCAGGGCAAAGTCTGACTTCGCCCGCCGGAGCTTCCGGTATGTCTGCATCAAGCTGTGCCCATCATCCATGTGAAGAAACGTGCTCCTCACGACCAGATGACCCGTGCACTCCTCACACAAGTCCGAGATATCAGAGCGGGGTGATGGAAGCTGCGAATGCATAATCTCACTGTGGTCCATCTCAGTGCTTGCCACATCACTCAAAGTGTCCATCATCTTCTGTGCCCTGGGCATAATCACAACTGGGATGCACAGCATCGCAAGTTTGGTACCAATTCTTGGTACAATATCAACCTTCCTTTGAGCCTTCCTGTGCTGAGGTCCGTGATACTGTGAAAGCAACATAAAGCAACTTGTGGCCCTTCACTCCCACAAGGTCCCACAAGTCTCTGTCAATCATTTCAGGTGAAATTGGTGTCCCTGAAAGGTCTTTGGAATCAAGCTGCCACAATGCTTCAGCAAAGGTGCATTGCTTCTGCTTACGACATTAGCTTGACTTCAGTCAACCACAAGCTAGAACTTTTACACTCAAATACAGTATATAATTTATTCAACTCTTTGTGTCAATACTACGACACACACACACACGCACACGCACACGCACGAACACACAAAGTGCAGCACTGTACCCCATTCCGCAAACATGGCCAGCTTGAAGGCGAACACCCACTGACATCATATCATATGTATTCATGTTATGTGATATCATGATATATATTGATACAATATATATATAATGTGAATTAATGTGACATCTATGGCGCCTGATCGCTCCCCTTGGCAACTTCCAGTTGCACTGCCAGGCGAAGAGCCAAAGCGGGAAGGGGAGCCGGAGCCGAAGTCAGGATGGTCAGCAGTGACAAGTCGATCTCCTGTTGTGACAGCTGTTCGACAAGTCCAAATGTCTCAAATATTCTCAAATGATGATTCGCAACAGAGCCAGACGAACATTTTTCCCATGAAGATCTGGGATATCTTGGAGAACTCAAGAATTTGAGGCTTCCGTTGAGTCCTTCCGCTCCACTTCATGTCCACGTCGGACAAGCAGTGCCAAAGTGACACGAAGCAGCAGCTCAGTCTTGGAAGGCAGTCGTGATGCGTGATGAGTGTTTGGGGACTGCGTCAGATCATGCAATCACTGGAGGAACAGTAAGGAACGGTAGTGAACAGGATGGGTCAAAAACTGTCACTGGATTCAACTTGCTAGATTCATTACAGCTATTTCAATATTTGGTTGCGATTTCTGCTAACATTCATCATTTATGGATCATCTTCCGAGAGTGCTCAATATGAATCTTTGTCTTTATGGCAGGTCTTTCCTGGGTACATAGGGCTCCCCTGAGCTCGAACCCATACTCTTCTGTTCAGGTCACAAAATATACAGTTGAATCGGAAAAAACACGACCTACATCTCTTGATACATTCATATGCCATTTGATGGAGGCTCCTGAATGATAACATAGCCATACATAGCCCAACAAACACCGGTACACACTCCTCCATCGCCC